GCAAAGGAAATTTGGCAAACTTTTCTTCGCGTTATTTACCCTCCTCTCTCTCCCCCATTGCTAGATAGTTGCTGATTTGCGATTAATTGTCATCAATTCGCGCGTATATTTCTTGTCCGTTATTTCGCTTCCTCGAATGCAAATGTATAATCTCTCGTCTCTTGTTCGGTTTCGACGCGCGTTCGTTCCCGTTGCTGCGCGCCGCTCAATATCTCAGGCAAGCTTCTAAAATACGAACGCGCGCGTTGTGTTCGGTATATATACTTCCAAATTGCGCGCGCGCGGCGGCTAATAGGAATTTTGATTGACTGAATTAAATAGTTATTGGAGATCCGCGTTTTTTTCTCCCCTACTTTTTCGCATCGATTAACTTTATTAGGACCCTGGCTCGTTTGTGGGGACGTTAGAGGTGGGAAGAGACGAGGACAAACGGGGGACAAGGGGAAGGGGGGGAAGAGGGTGGACGGGTCCTCGCGCGGCGTGCGAGCGGATTGCGGGAGGAGGACGATAGCCCGGGAAGGGAGGGGAGGGTGGTGCGAGCGGAGGATGGGGTGAAAGGAAGTTCACCGAGGCAATTTGTTGTTAAGTCGGAACTCATTTTCTAGAACCCACACCCGGCTAATGCCGCGACTGGGCCTGCAGGCCACCTCATTACCAGACCTAGTCAATTTCAATTTAATTTGCCAGTCGGCTGTTTCGCGGAAAAGGCTCTGTGTGTATGTGTACGTGTGTGTGTGTGTGTGTGTGCGTATGTTGTGGGGAGGAGGGAGGAGGCAACGGAAAGAGTGTGGCGACCGCATAGCTTTTTAATTAAACTGGAAACCGAGGCCGCGATTAATCATTATTATCTAGAAAAATTAAAGCCAGCGGTGAGAATGTGTTCCGCTTGTTGTGTGTGCATAGGCATGCTCCTCCAACACGCGGCCGCGAGCCGTAACACGAGCGCATTTTGTGCCGTCGCTGCTGCTGCTGCTGCTCATACCGGAGAAGCTTGTTGTGCATTGCGGGCACTACTGAAAAACTGGGCGAATTCGTGTTTATTATGTACACGAAGTCCCAAAAGTCGTAACTGTGTTACAGCCGCACGTGTGATTTCAAAAGGGAGAAAAAGTAATCAAGAATTTTGTTATACGACGTGACTCTCGTTGCGTTGTTTTATTAACAATATTAAAAAATCCGAAAGAGAGAGAGAGAGAGTGAGAGAGAGAGAGAAAGGGTTTTTATTAAATTCCAAGTAATAATTGCAAAAAGGATTGCCATTTGCTCGCGAGAAACAGTTTTCTCTCGACAACGAGGATCGCGTTAGGGAAGTGTCCAAGACGCGGATCAAATCGAAAAGCTTTTTTACACGAAAGGTAGGGCCGGGTTTGAAAATTTGGATTTTTATAATCGCACAAAGCGCTAATGAATCTATTTAGTCTCGCAAGAGGGCAGCAGCTCGTTCGACCCTCGCTCGATACAGGGATCTTGGATAAACGGACAAACGAACCAAATAATTACGCTAATTAAAGCCGCCCAATTTGTGCTTTAGACAATTAAAGTGCCGAGGGTAAGGTAGGAGTCTAACTCATTAACAGGCGGGGGTCGACCACACTCGCGCGCTCCCATGTGTGAATACGTTCGTTTCGACATACGCGCGCCCCTCGCGTCCTTGTGTGTTTCTCTCTTATTCCCTCTTGTTAGCGACCTGTGTGTGCGGCAAAGGGGCACGACGCATAATGAGCGAGGGTGCCCGAGAGTGAGAAGGTGATCTGAAGGGTGGAGGTAGCACTTGGTCACGAATCTTTCGAAATCGAAAGCGGTGAGAGAGAAAGAGAGAGAGAAAGAGGAAAAGAGAAGGAGAATAGCGGATCGTTCGATATATGTAGAAGTTGCTACAATACAATTGAGAGAATCCGATGAGAATTCGTACTTGTCGCGTGCACGTGAATGTGCATTGCGAAACTTGGCGCGTGTTTTACACACGTTCTCTCTCTCTCTCTTTCTCTCTCTCTCTCATCGTTGCTCAATCTCTAATTGCGGTTTCCAAAAGATTCCTCCCGATCCATCAAATTATTGCCTCGTTGCGAAATAACGTGCACGCGTGACACGCGCCTTTAGAGACGCTTGTTAGCGCAGGCAAGATTGACACGTCGGCCGCAATTAAAACGCAAAGGGGCGCGCGCGCGGCAAATTGCGTATCAAGTTAGAGGAGTTGGACAAGGAGGGCGAGGCACTCACGCGCGCGCGCGCGCGCGCTCGTATTATCATTGGTGAAATCAACTAATTAGAAATTGCGTAGACCGCTCGTTAAAGATCGCTCCACCGACCGTAATCGCCAATTACTCTCTTAGTGCGGACTGCACTGAACTTCGCTCATTAAAATTATTAAACGCCCGGGGCGGATGGGGAAGGGAGGAAGTTCGTGTTTGACGTTTCTACGCAACGTGACGCGCCACATGCATTGCATTTAAATCTCTCGGAATTTTTACAGATCGGCATTGTGCGGTGCCGTGCGCGCGATTGTTAATCACTTAACTGTGTTACATTGCCCGCTGCAGGTGCGATCGCATCGCGCTCGTCTGAACATGCATCTGAACTGTTAATGGAACTAATTAAAACGTTTTTCAAGTGTCTCTAATTAAGCAAAATAAGAGGAATGTAAATTTGCGCGCGGCGTTGCGTGTACTCTTTTTTTTTTTTTTTTTTTTTTTTATACAACTATAAATAAAGAGACTCATTGGCGTAACCGAAAATCCTTCGTTGTCATCAGCTTTCCAGAATGGTCGCGTAAAACACGCGTGAATAATGATACCCGTAATAACGTTAGGCGATTAAGAGGCCAGAGCAAAAAAGACNGCGCTCGTCTGAACATGCATCTGAACTGTTAATGGAACTAATTAAAACGTTTTTCAAGTGTCTCTAATTAAGCAAAATAAGAGGAATGTAAATTTTAATGCGGCGATCCGTGTACTTTTTTTTTTTTTTTTTTTTTTTATACAACCGCTATAAATAAAGAGACTCACGGGGGTAATCGAAAATTCTTCCTTGTCATCAGCTTTCCAGAATGGTCGCGTAAAACACGCGTGAATAATGATACCCGTAATAACGTTAGGCGATTAAGAGGCCAGAGCAAAAAAGACCGTGAGAATGAGAGAGAGAGAGAGAGAGAGAGAGCGGGAAGGTAAGAGGGAACAAGACGTTATGAGGCTGATCCTTGATCATCAACTGTATAATTCCTCCTATCCATTCTAGAGCTGATTGACTTTGGCCGTTCGTCTCTAATTAGCAATTAAGGAGAAATCGAAAATGCAGAGACCAATTCGGCCGATCACGCACCTTCGCTCATTAAATCTCGCGAAGGATGCGGCCCGGAAGTAGATACGCGCGCGGCGCGGGTTGACGAGGCCGCAAATTAAAACTTGCCGCGTTTTTTTAATTTTTTTATTTTTTTATTTATGATACGCGAAATACTCGTCGGAGAGAAACTTACTTTTACGTAGATTAGGACTTCGCCAGATGCGCGCGGATATTAGCGTCCTCGAGCGGGCGTGTATATCGGATACACCTTCACGAGAGACGAAATGCTAATCAGCGGATAATTGATTCGTTATCGAATCAATAATCGCGGTGAAATTTCTTAATGATACGCAATTTCTCTAGAAGAATCGTTTTTATTTGCGGCATGCGATATTTCTCGCGATCGATTATCATATTTAATAATGCGTGAAACACACGCTTGTACGACATTGTTTTACTTTCTCGGATCATGTCGTGGGTTTGAACGCGAACGAGAAAGTAATATTCCGCGCCCGGAGACGAGAGTCTCCGGCAGTGCTTCTGAAATTGGTATATTGCCATATTTTCTTGTTTCGCGAAGTAAGTAAGTAGAGTGTTCGACGCGAAAATTTGTTTTCATCATCCGCATGTGTTCCGTGAGTAGTGAAAGGAAGGACGCGCGCATTTATAATTGAAGCGTTGCGAGGCATCAAAGACACATCGTAAAAAAAAAAAAAAAAAAAAAAAAAAGAAGAGCGGGAAGAGAGAGGGGAGGGAGAGGAAGGAAATAGGAAAAACGAGAGAGAAAGAAGATGAAAAGGATTGAAACGTCATTCGGCGAGCAATCATTCAGATACGGCCGTGCTAGCGCGATCAGCCGGATGTTGGACAGATAAATTAGCAATTTAATTATAGAACTGTCAGCCGGTAATTAAATTAATAACGAGAGACCTCAAATCCAATCCGGTCCGTCGTCGTCGTAACAACCTTATGCGCGCTCTCGAGTAAAGCTCCGACGTAAATATTGATATGCCGAGTCTCTATCGTGCTTTTCAAAAGCCAATTCAATTAAATATTTCATTAAAAGTTAAATGAAATCCGATTTCAACTGTGCGCAACACGTCTCCGCGACACCGGAGCGAGAAGCCTCTTAATCGCCGAGGTGATCGGCAGATTCTTTCTTAAAATTCGAATCTTGTCTCGGATCGGAACCCGACGAGCGCGCGCGTTACCGATACGTGTGTGTCTCTCTCTCTCTCTCTTTCTCTCTCTCTCTCTTTCTCTCTCTCTCTCTCCCTGCGGAGGGAGAATTCCTTTACGCCGCTGGTCACAAGAGACGTGAAACCGTAGCGTCGAATATTCCCCCTCCTTCCCATTTGACATACTCACGTATCGTTACATAGCTAATTGCTGCATAAACATCCGACTTTACGAGCCAGCGAGTATACGACTGACAACCGCTTCGCAAACATTAACGACGAGGATACGCGCGTGCGTCGGTATTGGAATACTCCGGTGTGTGTCAGAGACCGCAGGCGAAATTGGCAAAAATAATCGTCGAATCATCGCCATAATCGCGAACACCTGACGCTTTCAAAGACCCAATTCGTCATGGGACCTGACGCGTCCCAATATACGCGACACGTATTTCCGATTTTTTCTTAATCGAGAAATTTCCGAATTCCAATCGTCCATTTTAAACACTTACTTTAATCGCGATCGTTTTGTGTGTTTTGTTACAGAATGTTTGGCAACAGCGGAGTTTGCGCGAGTTGCGGCAACGCAATTCCCGCGACCGAGCTGGTCATGAGGGCCGGCGACTCGGTGTTTCACCTGAAATGTTTCACCTGCAACAAGTGCGGCGGTCAGCTCGTATCCGGCGACAGGTGAGTTTTGCCACAAATTGCCTTTAATTCTTTCTCACAAGCGGATGGACATCTTGATTTATGTATGTGTTGCGGCGAGGCGCGCCTAACGTGATATGGGATTTGTTTGCAATGTTACAGATACTACCTGCTCTCGGGGTCGCCGGTTTGCGAGACCGATTGGCACAAGATCGTGAAGTCGTCGAGTCTCACAGCGGCTGCCGCCGCGACCGGCAATAGCGGCACGCCCGTGAGGAAAGGTAAAGTCGGCAGACCGCGGAGGAGCCGCGAATGAGGTGGCAACCCGGTCGGTCGCCCGAAGAAGGTGCAACCCTCTCCACAGCCGACGCCCCCAGCCGTCGTACCTTCGCCACAGGTAGACGTCGTGGACGTCGCCGTCGGGGTGGATCCCTATTCGCCGCCTCCGCCGGGTCATCAGCACTATCACCACTACCACCATCATCACCATCATCACCAGATGGCACTCGTGCATCCGGGTCTGGCGGCCCAGCAATCGCACCTGCAAGCAGCCAGCTATCAGGACTGGTCGCCCTGGGCCCAAGATACCTGCGACTGAACCTGCTCACACCTGCTCAACGCAGCAAGTCCGAATCCCCTAAGGACGTAGCGATGAACGAGAGAGACCTAATGTGTCATTGCGAAGTCCAGTGCCCTACCCCTCAGGAAAATTTACCTGGTAGACGAAGAAGATTCCTACGTGGGATCGCGTCGACTTTGAAAATTTTCAGTGTCTCTGGACTTGGCGCCGTGATATCGAACGTGTATCTGAAACGACGTGTGGTCGCGGTAGCCGAACGTCTCCGAACTATGGACACCGCGTTTACTGAACATAATAGAACTTGCCGCGGATGTCGTATGTGTCTTTTGCGTTCCGCCGATGTTGCCGTGTCGAGTGGCAAATTTGGCGCGGATACCGAGATCTCATTGAATCAAATCCGAAGAACCGCTTCTCGACTTCATGTGCACGTTGGTTTTTTAGACTTGTAATGGACGCGTGAATTTCCGTTGATTTTTGCAGCACACACATACTGACAATTGTCTCCTTTGAATATATTATATTTCTTACAGACATTGCCGCAAGAAGTTCGAGAAGTTCGAACGGTAGCGAGTTAAAGAATTGAGAACCTCATTTTTCTTCAGAAACGAAGCGCTGTGCGATGTATCCGCGACAGATCCGCGTGATCACACTTGACACCGCATCGCGGAAAGCATCTCCGTGACGCAAGCAAATCCGCCGGGTCTTCTTTAATAATAATCTTTGCTCAATTGTAAAGAATCGAAGAAAGTATAAAAAAAAAAAAAAAAAAGTACGATCCATCGTGCAAAATACCATCAGCTGCAGTAGTTGACGTCAATTTTCTTCTCTTTAAAAAGTCCTTTACACCTATCCCGTTGCAATAAAATCCCCTCCCTCGACACGAGATGTGAAATGTAGAATTCGTTGAGTGACACTTGCAACCGGCGCGTTCTTTTCGCGTGTGTTTTTGCGAAAATGTCGAAATAATTCTTCCTATCAATGTGTCATTCTCCACAATCTCTCTCTACCGAATCAAATCGCATTCACATGTATATATATATATATATATACCAAAATGTCCGTATTATTTATTTACAAAAAAAAAGTTTTGATTGAAAGAATTATTAATTCGTTTCGACCGATTCGTCAATTCGCGAGTTTTTGCAAACGCGTGCTCGGTTTTTTTTTTTTTTTTTTTTTGTTTTTTCGTTATTACTTCGAAGACAGCACGTATTCTCAGAACGGCGTCGTGTGTGCTACACTCGACACGTGCGATTGACGAGGATCTTGCTGCGCGAGAAAGACGGATGACAATCGAAGAGAAAAAAGACGAAAATTCGATAAAGATTGAAAGAAAGACGCGAAACGACGACAGCGCTTTCTCTTTCTCTCTCTCTCTCTCTCGTTCTGGATCCTTAGAAAATTATTTTTCTTTCAAAATCATCGTTCCTGTCGATCCGCCGCCACCGCCGCCGCGTTCCGTAAACTCATTAGGCGGCCCTTGTTCCCGCCATCGTTAATTGAGTACCGAGGTGAGACGAACGACACGGAATTATCATTCGAATCCTTCTTGTTAGATATACCGGCGTCGCTTCGCTTCTTTCCTCTCTCTCTTTCTTATTTTTTCTTTTTTTTTCTTTTTTTTTTTTTTTTTGTTCTTTTCCCATTCTGTCGTTCTTTTTTTCCTTTTCTCGTGAAATTTGTCATGTACAAAGCAGCATAATCAATTGAAAGTCCGTTACGCAAAACAAAAATCTGCTCTTGACGTTATATCCTCAAACGAATCCGGATAAATATCGAGTTTATCGTAAGTGTAATCGCGAGAGTACATTACGATATGTTGAAGCGCAAAATGCGACCGATGTCGTTCTCTCGGAGAGTGGAATAAAACTCACAGTTGTCTCGGAGAGTATATCTCTCGCGTCGTTTAGCGAAGTCTACGTTGTGCATTGTTAAAGTTGGTCAATAAGCAGGTTGTCTGCAAGAACCGCTTTTGCCAGTGAAAACGTTATAACTTTCTCAAGAGAACATCAATCCTCTTCTCTTCTTCTCCCTCTTTCTCTCCCTCTCCCTCTCTCTCTCTCTCTCTCTCTCTTTCTCTCTCTCTCGGTGAGTTTAATTTAAAATTCTTCTTTGTCTCACTTCTCTCTAAAATTCTCGACGTTCATTCGCGAATTTCTTCGAAGAGTAATCGCGTGTTACTGGCACGCGGACGTTGCACGACGACAACCGTACGCATTAGTGACACAACTCTCTCGCGACAAACAAGAAATGACATTGGCGCAACGCATGTTCGAAGCAGTTTGAAGGTAACAAGCGTAACAGGCGACGTACCTCTCGGCACGAAATGTATAGTATTGTTACAAAGACGACGAAGAAACTTGGTGTGCTCGCGCGGTTATTCGTTTTCATTTCGTTTAAATGCTCTCATTTGAGAAATACGACCTCCGTGGATCTCATCATCGATCAAGTGTCGCTCGAAACATAAACTCTCTCGAATCTCGTCGATGCACTCTCTCATGTGTGCGTGTAATCACGAGTCGAACTAATCAATCGCTCTATGTATGTTTAAACGTTGAAAGTCGCGCGCCCGATTGATTTTTGAATTTTTCCTCAACGAAAAAAAAAAAAAAAAGAAACGATGATTCAGAGGAGAGTCATGCGACTCGCAAAAGAGACAATTGACATTGTATCGAACTCGAACTTGAAATCAAGCGCTTGGATTGCGGTGAGAACAATCACTAGTTTTCGCGACGACGCCAGACGACGCCGCCAAGAGTCTCGAGAAATCGATTTCGAGATATCTAATACGGCTCTGCGGGCAGTGACGCCGACAAAAGCAAGTGATAGAAAATGATGGTGTATACACAGAAGAGAGGTGTACATGTTTTTTGGACAAGGTTCGCGCTGATGGATCATATCAAGGATGCACAAACTTTTTCGGCTGTGAGCGCGCATGAATGGATATGTACAATATTATAAAAAACAAAAAAATGTCGATTGTTTCGTATATCGTTTTAACTAGTAATTCTTTCATTACCTCCGATATAAAGTTCGCAGTGTGTTTTTCCAAACAAACAAAAAAGTGGAAGGAAATCAATCGTTTTTCGATATTCGGGCTGTTTCGAGTTTTTTTTTTCTTTTTTTTTTTTTTTATCGATTAGTGCTCGTTTCTTCCGTCATCGGCTCGAGTCGAGATTCGGGCCGGGGTTTGTGCATCGTTGGATTGTGTAATTTAATCTTGTATATAGGATACATTTTGTATATTGTTAAAAGTTTGTGTGATATAAATGGGGTTATGTATTTACTATCGAGCGCGAACGGCGATAACGGGGCTATACCGCGCGTTATCCTACGGGCGATTAGCCGATACGCGACGTGCCATGGTTTTTCGCGGTCCCGTCGAGCCGAGTGCGTTTATAAGTGGTGTCTTTCGCTGTGCTACGCACGATGAATGAACACGCAGAATTAATAAAAAAACCTCAGCCAACACGGCTTTTCTCGCGCGACTGATTTCAGCGCTGACTAATCGCCTCGTCAACAGTTTGTTTTTTTTTTTTTTCCATTTTGTTTCGCGAATGCGACATTTATGTACTTTCCGATGTAACAATTTGTAAATTCGATCTTACGCGAAAGGTCGCCAATCGTGCGATTCGATTTCGTCACCAATGCGAAAGCCCGAGCCCCGAGAAGACGGGGAACACACAATCGTTACGAAGCTCGCGAGAGGGAATGACCGAGAACGAGTCGCACATTTCGTTGCGCGAACATGTGATATATATATTATACATGTATATATCCCGGAGAGAGAAGGTCTCGCGTGAAATTGCGTGCGATGTGTATATTAACGCGAAATGCGCACTGCGTATACCACACACTTGGCACTCGGTGGGCCCCCGGAAACGAGCGCGCGTGCACGGAAAGTCCCCGGCCGAGTGGCACGCGCGCGCAGACCGCGAACTCGGTCCCACACACGCGCGTCTAGTTAATTTTGTTATTTCATTTATCTCGGACTCTTCATATTCGGGACCCGACATCTGTGTATGTGGTTTCGCGGCCTCTTGTAAAATACAATTACACATGAAAAAAAACGACACGAAAGACACACACACACACACACGCGCGCATACATACATTACACACATACATACACACCGTACGCGAACACGTTTATTAATTAATAAAATCACAAGTTTTTAGAAAACGAGATCCGTGTGATTACAAACGCCATTGATTTTCCTCCTCCCGCCAAAAAAAAAAAAAAAAAATCCCGAATCATGTTTCCCCGCTCACGTTTGCGCACGGGAGTGTCGATGTTTAACGACGATTCAGACTCGCATTCGATGCGATGCGATGTATTTCTTTATTATTATACAATCATCACGACGGAACACACAAGGTAAAGAAAGAAGAAAAAGTGAAGCGCGGTTTATTCGATGACCGCGCGCGCGCGCTCTATCGCATCGAGGGGAATCGAGGCTGTGTGTGTTCGGCTCTCGCTCCCAAGTGGCTGAATTAATTCGAATGATTCGAATGTTTCGGCGATGCGGAGGCCGGTTTTCAGCCAACTTCTCGGCAACGTGTGCGCGAGCGCGCGCGCGCGCGACCCGACATTCTCCAGTCGGGATAGGTATTTAACGGATGTACACGTGTCCGACCATATTGCATTTGTGTCGTTCGATAAATAGGTGGCTAAGCAACTCCAACGGAAACCCGTGTTAATTAACGTTGAGTTTCAGGACTGATTTACGTGGCGTCTAATTAGCGGACCTGCCGGCGACGTAGTAGGCATTTTGATTGGCCACACCGCGAATAGAACGCGGCCCGATTGGCCTTGCCGCGGCGTGTCGTATCGATTGTTTTCGTTTCTTCTCCACCTCCACCTCCTCCACCTTCTCCTCCTCCTCCTCTTCTCCTCCTGTTGTTCTCTTTTTGTTCGTTCTTAAAAACAAAGGCCGAATAGATGCGCCAAAGCGCGCTTCCGAAACGAGAATGCTGCCTCCCCAGACTGAAATGCAGCCCGATCATGAGCGGTAAGTAAAAGTAGAATGTCTGTGTGGTGTATGCGCGCGCGCGATAGTAGAATGTGTGTGTGTGTGTGTGTGCGCGCGCGCGCGCGTGTGTAACACTCGGATTTTATTTCTACTATAAATAAATAAAGAGAAAGTGCATATATATATATATATACATATATATATTATTACAAAGACACGTATGTCAGATATATATTTTACAAGTGTCAATTCGTTATTCGATTTCTCTCTCGTTATTTCGAGTCGTATATTTTTTTTTCATCGGTTAAATAAAATCGTAAGATGCTTCATTACACGAAAGTGAAAGGAAAAGGAAACTCTTCACGCTAATTAAACCGGCGCATTCTAATCCTTTATTTACCGTCTGCCTTATGTTTACAAGCGTATCAATTAAATCCGGAATTAAACAAGCGCGTTACCAGCACACACACACACACACACACAACAGACGCGCGGTTGTACACGCTCGTTAATTATGAGTGATAATTATTACTGACGTAATCCCCTATTTAACCGCTCTATGCCGTGCTTTTCCTACAGATTAAGATAGTCATTATTGCACGTCGGAGTGTAAGAAATAATTAAGGTAACAAATAAAATGAGTTTTTCTATTTTGAGAGAGACGCGCGCGCGCAAATTGCGAAAACCTCCGTAGAGGATATTTTATTCAAACGCGTTATAAAAGCGAAGAATTCACGCAGCTCTCTCAACACCGCCGCGCGCGGTGATCTTGAGCCCCGTGCGAGCGAGCGGGGCGATGCATTTCGAGAAACGTCAAACGTATGCAGTTTCTTGAAGTTTTGCGGCAATTAACAGTCGACGGTGAATAACAAACTGAATTTAATTAATTGCATAACTGCGAGCAGAGGCGGCCTCTCTCCCACTTCTCGCTTTGCCTCCCCCCACACTTCTAATCGAAGCGGGTACATATTGTTGCACCCGTTGCGCTCTACCCCTCATCAGCCCACCGGCAATTAATTATAGCATTCCAGGTTAGCCCGGGAATTAATTACGTCCAGAAGTTGGACGCTGGCGAGGGATCGTTAGAAATCGTCCTTCGTTAGAGTTAGGCGGGCATGGGTCCAGGTAATTATTGATAGTCTCCTATATATATATATTGTATATATATATACATATATATATATATATATAGATATATGTATATATATATATATATTGGTCCTTCATTGAGCCGATAACGCGGGGGAGAGGGGGTATGAGAGCGAAGGAGCCTGGGAAAAGGGTATGATCGCGCTCCGATATTTCGGACTTGCCGAAAATCAAGAAAATAAATTTAAACGCGCAACAACATGTGCGCTTCGTATTTTTTCCGGTGCGAACTTTTTTTCCGCGCGACTCGCGGAAATTAGACGGTTCCGAGAGAGAAAGAGAACGTTCCGAATCGAACGCGGAGAAATTGAATCGCGAATAAATAGCGAGTGATGAAGCGGCGGTCGACATTTCTTTCTGTTTCTTTTTTTTTCCGTTTATTTTTTTTTGTTTGTTTTGTTTTGTTTTTTTTTTTTTTTTACAAACAAATGAGAAACTCGGTCTTTTATGGCGTCTCAGAACTTTGTTGATGATATAACACTTGTTCATCTACTCCTTAATCCCTTCTGCTTGTTAACACTGCTCTCGCTGCTGCTCTGCCGAGAGTTGCCCGGGAAACAAAAAGGGATCGTTAGCGCTCGCGGCCCGTTTTATGGCCGTAAATACGGGCATGTGTTTTGAGGGGAATGTTCCGAATATTTTGACGGTATCGCGTAACTTAAAAGAACCTAACCAAGTGTCACGCGGTGTTTTTTTTTTTTTTTTTTTTTCAGTGCGCTTTTATAAAACACGTGTCGCGAAAATTCGCTGAGAGTAATTAATCGTCCGAACAGGACGCACTGGAGAACCAACACACTTCAGCAGATTCGCGTGTCTCTTATCGAACTTCACAAATTTATTAGACAGATAAACAACACGATATTATTATTTTACACAAAGATAAGATGCGACTGCTGCATACATTTCTTCTTTACGGCGCGTGTGAAAGATGGCGGGGTGGGAAGACAAAAAAAAAAAAAAAAAAAAAAAAAAAAAAAAAAAAAACTAAGGGAGTAAGAGATCCGGAAAGACAGACGAGGGGTTGCGCGAGAGAGGATCAGTTGACACACCGGCGCAAGACAATTATTATTGTGAGTGGTTGGCGACGGGACACCAATGATATTTTATTTAAGAAACAATCGGGTAATAGCTCGCTTCAAGAGGATAGATAACGCCGCGCGCGGAGATAGAGACCGACCGCGGGAAAAGTTGTGTTGCGAGATAGAGAGAACGAACGCGTTACGAGGAAAGGGAATTACAGAGGAGAGGGAGAGGGAGTGGAGATGTAGGCAGCAAGGAGAGAACGCGGAGAGATGAAGGGAGAGAGAGAGAGAGAGAGAGAGGGATGAGGAGAGGTAAAAGGTGTACTTTGAGACGGGCTGGTGTATCAGGGTAGATGTACATTAGCGAATTACCCGCGCGCAGATCCCTCGACGGTGAACAATAAATACAGAGTAAATCGAAAATATCGTTCAAAGAGTTCGGTAAATCCTTAAAAAAATCGATAGACTCTGTTACGGAAGGAGAGAAAACGTGTGCCGCTATAATATCTAAATTAAATAATACAAACGATCGTAGTCCCAAGCGTGCTTTGTAAAAGAAAAAAATCAATTTTAATCACTCACCAGTCGTCGTTCGAATTTACGACGATTGCGCACGTGTGACAGGATTTCTTACTTTATCGCGAAACAATTTTTCCATCAAATTTTCCGCGTTTCTTCAACAATTTCTTCCAATAATTGCGGGCATTGCGTAATCACGCGCTTACGGCGTCCTCATTACGCTACACTGACGAAATTCAATTTCGATCCCGGACGGAAAGACGAATGGTGCCGCCATCTAGCGACGCGGAGATGCGAACACACCGCGCGATGAGCGCGCCATCTAGATTGGCATTAATTCTAACCTGTGATAAAAATCCCTTCTTGTTGTGAGAGGCGCGTTGAATTCTTGAAAAATTGAGAAAAGAAAAAAACATGACGGACAGCAACCATTGCAAATATTTTGTAAAACGAAAAAATCGCTTTTGCCACATGACTGTGCGAGAAGGGAATCAATTTTGCGGCGAGCATCTGCCAGACGATGCTGGCTCCAGCGATATCCGTAATAGAAGAGTAAAATGTCCGTTGGATCCGACGCAGTAAGTTTGTTTATTTATCTTTTTTTTTCATAATGACAAATTCAAACACGCGATTTTACTTTGCGTACGTAAAGTTCTCTCGCAAAATTGAATCGACGTGTTTCTTTCCAGCACGTGTTACGAATCGAAGTTGAAGAAACATCTGAAGGTATGCAACACCAAACGAAAATTGGACGCGCAGCCCGCATTCGTAGTCAAAGGGGTAAATCTGGACGATGAGGCTATAACGGCGCCATCGTATGTGCCGTTGTCGCAGCTTGACGAGGCTGTTGTCGACACGGTGATAAAAAAGATCCAGTCGGCCTTTGGTAAACAAAAGAAATTATTTAGACGTGACGTTTCAATGACAAAAAATGTTTCGCGTTTTGTTGTTTTTGTTTGATTTCTTTATCTATGTAATTTTATTCAGAAAAGCTTCCCGAATTTTCTCATGCGATACTGCGGCACGACATACTTAAGGACAAATTGAACGACAAGACCTGCGGTAACAATGTTAGAAAGCACTTGCTCCAAGATGCATCTCTTCTCGGGCATTTGGAGCAAGCCGGTCTCGTGCGAGACAACACCTGTTTCATTGATTTCGGAGCGGGAAGAGGTACGCGCATGAGGAGTTTTACATTCTCACATTATTTTTAATTGAAAAATTATATCGCAACGCGCAATTCCTTGAAATTCCGAGTGAATTCGCGCGGTGTGTGTGTGTGTGTGTGTGTATGTGTGTGTGATGACAAATAATTTATTTAAAATCGTAACTGTGCGAACAGGTCAGTTAATGTACTGGTTGGGACAAATAAATAACAGTTTGAACTCCTGTATCTTGTTGGTGGATCGTTCCAGTCACCGGCACAAAAAGGACAACAAACTCAGGAGAGAAAAACATAATTTCACGATAAAAAGGATATGTGCGGATATCGCTGATCTGCAATTGAATAAAATCACAGAAATCCAGTCGTTCAAACACAAAGTCGGGATAGCCAAACATCTTTGTGGCGCTGCCACGGGTACGTTTCGCTGTTGAAAATTCTCGTTATTTTGCACATATTTGATATATTTACATAATATCGATATATTGTTTTTATAGATTTAGCAATACGTTGTTTAGCGAGATCGATAAGCAGCGAACCGAAAGTCGACATTCGGGGTTTAGTCCTAGCATTTTGTTGTCATCACAAATGCGATTATTCGTCCTACGTAGGTAGGGACTACCTGCAACAATGCGGTTTCACGACGGACGAGTTTCCTGTTTTGTGCAGCATAAGCAGCTGGACAACATGTGGTTTTCATTTAAAGAACGACGCTGAGATGCAATCCGATTCTACCGTTCGGCAGCACGACAAGAATGTTATTGACCAGTTTTCGAAATTAGACGAGCGGGAAATTATCGGACGCAAAGCTAAAATATTGCTGAATTGGGGTCGCTTGGTCTTCCTGCAAAGTGTTGGATTTCAGGCCGAGCTATTTCATTACATTTCCACCGATGTTACGCTGGAAAACATGTGCATTGTGGCTACACGAAAACACATTCCATCTTAGATCATTTTTTTTTTTAGTTATTAACGTCAATTCCAAGTATGAACAAGTTCCAATAAAATCGAATACAAAATGTTTATAGTTTCATAAGTGGAAAGCGCGTTTCTCATTAAGTTAATTGTGATCTCTCTCGATTTTGTTGGAAATGACCAATTTCAAGGAAATAATTGTATTAGTCGTTAGTTGTGCAGAATCAACCGATCATGTTAATTTACATTACATTTGATCGGCCGATTAATCGATAGTCAAAAAACTGGAGATAATGAGAATCGACCTATATTCTCTCAATGCTCTCTTATACACAAAAATTATATTATTACAATATTGTTGATTACTTATATTATTAAAATTTTGTTTGTTTCAAGATAAATATAATTTATCTATAAATATAAATAAATAAAATATATATAAATAAAAAATGCGTAGTTAATCCATAGTCGATAAGATCATCGCTCAATTTACCGATTTCATTCGAGTGAATGATACAACACTAACGTAGTACGCAGGTCAGAAATACTCTCTCCCCACCAGACAGGATGCCCCGCCCAATACAAGTGATCTAATGTTCAAACATTCCACCGTTCGAGTAATGCGCAGGTGGTTTTGCTTCGGAGTGATCCTTTTTTCTAATTTCTAACTTATAGAGGAACACTATCGATCAGAGAAACAATAACGAGGACACGACGGGTGGCGTTGATAAAAAGATACGTTGCACAGGTACGTATGAGCTCTGTATTGCGCATAATAATTTTTATCAAGCGACGTATGCTCGCGTGAGTTTTTCGTGACCTATTTCGGTGTCCATTTCTATGTGCACCTGCGTGTACGTCAAATAGACAAGTGTGAGTGTGTGTGCGTGTGCAGCGGTACATAACATTTATCAGCACTTGTCGCTCAGAAGTTGGTCTGTGAAATCTTACACGACATCTTACGCGCGGCATCGCACCAGCACGCCACGCCTGGCGCGTGATGCCGAGGTCTCTTCTTACTCTCCACACTGAATTTGGCTTTCCTCTTTCTCTTTTTCAGAGTGTAAGGGAGAGTGTTAACGTTGTGACATGTCTATTCTAGACGAGCGTGATGACTACCTGAAGAATCCGTATTTCAAAGGGCACGAGTACGGAGATTTCACGCCGTTCTATGTCACGGTGGCTCTCTGCTCCGTTTTGGGTGGCATTCTTTTCATTCTGAACATCGCGTTCTGCTGCTCGCGGCATCGGGAATATTGGCAGAATCGTCACACAGGTGAGCGTCTGCGGAGCGCGTGTGTGTGAAATCTGTCGTTACATACTCGCATACTCCAGTCGCATGCAATTACAACTTACAAGAGTTTTTTCTAATATTGTCCTATCGATATATTTAGGCAATAGGTGGATCCAGCCTCTTTTTACCGTGCTGCCGCACAAAACACCACCGCTCGATTTAAGCGAACTGGAAAGCGGTATCAAGCCCCAACAGAAGCACGAGGTCATTCAGTATCACGATCTGGAGTCTCACGGTATCACGGAGCATTCACAGGAGTTCATGGAGATGCAACAACAGAAACGCGAGAGTGAGATCTGAAGTAGATGACAATACTAGCAGCTAATAACTAGTGTGGTAAAAAGTCAAAAGAAAAGAAAGACGAAAGTAATATCTACGCTTCGTACATATACGAAGCTTCCAAAGCTAGGAACTTAATTAAGTTCAATCGAGTTTAATCAGTCTCTTGCGCTCAACTAACAACTGAGAAAAAGATCTGATTTGGTTGTCATTAAATTTCTCGCTGCTAATTTTTATCGTAAGCACATTGTCCTGTGACTCCTTTAGGATATAAATAATTTTTTCTTTTTCGTTTTACATCATTTTGTTTATCATCGATTATAGAATTGATCATTGTGACACCATAGCGAATTGCAAAGCTGTTTCATCAATCGGATACTCAACAGTAATTAAACTAACAAATAATTAGACTCTCATTGTAAATAATTGTTCGCAATGGGCTTGCACGTTTTCTGGCCTGCCACGGCCTGTCTGACTCTTTTCGTGGTTTGCGTCATAATTGTGCTGCTCAAGTATGGCGCGCGTGTTTGCAAATTACGGCACGAACCATTGCCGTCCGATCGCGAATGGGAGGGCAAAACGTATTCCAGAAAATTATCCATTTCCGTGGCGTAAATAACATACATAATAGATATAGCACTGCCTTGAAAAGATTGCACTTGGGTCGTACATTTTTCTTCAAAATTCGAACTTGACAAATGCAAAGACTGTCAATTAACACATGGTCACGTTAGAAATAGATCAGAAATTCTTAATAAAAATTTAAATCTTTTACGTGTGTATGTTGCAGTAAAAAACGTGGAATTAAATTAGTGGAATCAAATGCATAAAGAGAGAGAAAGAGGAGAGAGTAATATATATATAGACCTGTTTATACTTTTTTTATCAGAAGAAATGCGTGTACAAACTGGTCAGTAAATGTACGAATTCCATGTTTTTAACATGTACTTAACATGTAAAAGAATCTACTCTTTTCTAGGACACGTAAGTCGTACGTATTATATAGATCTGATATAACGATCTAATAATAGTTATGTAAGTCAGATACTCTTTGATATTCCGTCCCCCATTTACTGTGCAACAACACTGATACAGTTTTTTACTAACATGTATAAGTGTCTTGTCGACAATCATTGTGAAACAATGTTTAAAAACTTTGTACAAAAAAAAACAACCAAACTTGCCTTTTTACAGCAATGTGCGTTTAAGAAAATTTTAATGTGTTACATGTCCGTCCATATTTCTTGTTTGATATTGAATTATATTCTTCTCAAAATATGATTTTTTTTAAAGTAATATATATATATCGATAATACCGATATAACTGAGCTTTTATAAAAGTTTTGTATTTCTTTTAATATATTTTATAAATAAAACTGAAAGACACACCAAGAAAACAAGTAATATATTGATAATACCGAGCTTTTGTAACAGTTTTGTACTTTTAATATATTTTACAAATAAAAACTCAAAAGAAACATCAAGGAAAAAACAAACGAATGTGACAATGATTGTCCTTCAAATTGTACTTTCGAATTGTACCTACCTCGCGAAAAACGCTCTTGTATATATATATAATATTTTATTTTTATTGACAACATTGGATTTTTGTTACATGTGTAATGGTTACACAATTATTTTAATAAGTAAGTAGATTACATTATACAATTTTTTTTTGCTTTTTTATAGAATAGTTTGTAAAGAAAATTACTGATTTTAACGAGCTACAGATACATCGAATTCAGGAATTGATCCTAAGAGCTAACGAGGTCCAAACGACCTAATAATGTTCAATGACGAGTCATCAACCGCGACCCAGCAATTTAAATAAATAACCTTGATTAAAATCATTTATCTAAATCGTTGCGCGAGGCAGTTGTAGTCTGTACAACAAATCGACGAGATGTATAAAAAATGTACACTTAAATTTGTTTGCAATCTTATACATTGGACACAAAATGCATCGAAAATTTTTGTAACAATCTGTTGTAATTAAAAAAAAAAAAAAAAAAAAAAAATAATCAAGAGAACGGCACATTTTCTTTTTATACGGTTGCGTTAACGAGATGAAATCATTAACAAGACGATTATGAAAATTCAACTCGGTCCGCGATGAGAACGGCGAGTTTCGTATGTTCTAATTGTTTTAATTCTAACGAATAAAATTCTGAACGATTTCCTTATTATATAATAGCTAGAATATCTATGAATTGTGTGTGTTTCCGAAAAAAGTGTGCGCAGATAGTAAACGATCGCCGTAAAAGAGAAGTTTGAACATTGATTTTTTTTCTCTTCTTTTTTGCGCGAGAAAAGATTTGAGAAATCTCACACAATTTAAACGAGATAATTCGGCTAGCGAACGAACGATTCGTTTTTCCGAATCCAAACTATCTAGCTGGGTTTTGGAAATTCAACAACAGAGCGCGAGCATCGACGTAACAATTTGATTCGCGCGCGCGCACACAGATCGAGAAAAATCCACTTCAAAATGTCTCTCTAACACGGGAGAGGTGTTTGCTATCGCTACGCGCACTCGTCTCAGAGAATGCCTGTATAATTATCGAAAGATCTGAAAAATTAGTCTCTAGGTTTTTTACTGATGTATCTTCTATCATGCGCTATGTTACAATGCGATTAAAACACGAAGAGCTTTCTCTTACAAGCTCCACATAAAGAAGTCAAGCGCGATATGCTTGTTACACCTATTCTACACTGAGAGATAAATCACGCGCGCTTCAACAGGCGCGCTTCGCTTCAAACTTCAGGAGCGAAGTCTCCCGCAAAAAAACTGACGACTACATAAAAAAAAAAAAAGACGAATGAATCACACACATCTCATATATATGATTTCGAGTATCAAAAAATCTCTTCGGACACAAACGATTTGCGCAGCTAATAATTCTATTTCGCACGTCGCGTCGGTCGTGTAATTGGCACTCGCTCTCGTTGTAAAATAGATGTAACGCTCATTTTTAGAAACATTTAATGCTGTCGACCGGCATAAACGAGTCCCACACACACGCACACGCACACACACACATACACACACGTTTTTTGATCATCGTGCGTATATCCCTAAAAATTACAAGCTGGCTTCACCACGATGCCACGTATCAAATCGCACCTTTTTGTATTTGTTTTGTTTTTTTTTTTGTTTTTTTTTTGCAAAATATAGACTTTGCGACTTTTTTTTTGTGCGGATATGATGTTTTGTGGAATTGAATTTACCGGTCGAAAGAATTAATTGGAGGAATAGAGCAATTAGAGATAAGAGCTCATATAGAGAACGGAGATAACATTATCGATAGAGTCGCTTTACGCGTGATGATATGCTGTAATACGGGAGCTAGAACTAGGCGCTTGGTGATGACGCGTGCCCCATTTCACGTACGGCGTCTACGGGCGTTTAAAACATATATATATATACTATATGTATATATATATGTAATAAATTTCTTGAGATCTTGGAAATATCTTCGACTCGCGTAGAAGAGCTCGAAGAAGTCTGAATATATTTACGATTTTTTTTAAAATACAATAGAGTCAAAATTTCTATTGTAAAACATTCGACAACAAGAATACACTTTTAAAAAAACGCTATTACACAATCAAAAAACACGTATAATCTTCTTCTCTCGCGCCTTTGTTCAATATTAAGCACGTCGCACGCGAGTCACACACGCGTGCAGTACCAAACGCGCGAGCAGCTTAACTTTTTTAAAATTTTTTTCTCACCGACGAGCCTCTCTGTATATACCTAGATTTAAAAACAAATGACACATAAACCTTTTTTTTTTTTTGCACAGAGGAGGGATTTGATTTTATACCGTGGCGTCGAAAAGATACCTAGTGATCTCTCTCTCTCTCTCTTTTTCTCTCTCTCTCTTTTTCTCTTTCTCTCGCGCGCGTGAGAGCGCGCACATTTGACGAGACAACGAGACGACGAGTTATTTTAGTTTGATTTTCATGCTCATTGGCTTTGCGAGTTTCCATATTTGCCAGTTACCACTTGATACATTATTATTAACGTTAACTGCGAATATTAACACCGGAAGTGATGACGTCCTGTCAAAAGAGGCGCTGAAGATTCCGGAAAAATTCATTAGGCTCGCGCGAACATTCTGCGTGTTTTTTATTTTATTTTTTTTCATATATTTTTTCTCAATTTATTTTCAATTTCAAATTCCTGATATTTTTGATGCGGCTCTTTTTTGATCGTCCATTTTTTGATTTTCAAAATTTTTGATTCGCCGTTATAGTTTTGTTTGTTTGTTTGTTTGTTTTTTTTTTTTTTGAAAATCTCACGCACAAAGACGGACATCGTTTAGCTTATTATCTTCGCGAATCCTCTTCTTTTGAGGGTTGAATCTTCGCATCGGCGTAATAATTGTCGGAATATCTCGCGCATGTTACATGACACACAGGACAAAGTTACTTCGAACACCGAACACTGTATATTTATGTGAGAATTGAATGAGAGCTGTTTATAACATGACGAATATTGTACATGATTTTTAAGTGGGTCAGCAGTTAAGCCAAAGGGGAGTCACTGCTGCGTTTCTTTGTGTGTGTGTGTGTAATAAACAATAATATAATTATTAATAGCAATAATAGCAATAATAATAATAATAATAATATGTGATCATTTTGAAGGAAGACGAGAGAACAGCTTTGGCAGATGATGACCTTTATCTTCTGCAATACCTTCAAGAATATAAGCGATTGCTTCTAGTCGACGAGTTCTACGATCGCTACGCTCGTTTAATCGCAGTACAACGCAGTGGTGCAGATTGGTTGCAAGAAACCCGTTCGAGAAAAGCTAACGTCACTCAAACGTTGTTTTCACTCAAGCTGTCAAGGGAAAAGTGTCACGTCGTCGAAAACATTTGCAGAGAAAAATATACTCGGGCGGGGCGAGGAGGGAAGGAGGGGAGGAAGAAGACCCAGGGCAGAGAGAGATGAATAACGTTGCACAAACTGCATCACTGTATGTCTGACGAGTAGTTGTATTTAATTTTCGTCATCTCGAAAACACGGTTACGTATCGGTTACCAATCAATTCTCTGGCTGATCGCGCGGCTTAACCCTTCCGAGATCTTGCCAACGTATCCATTTTTAGAAAACCGTTATGTGATCAATAACTCTTCTCTATCTAGAACCTGTTGCAAATTGTGTCAACGGGTTAAAATAAAAGAACTCGGACAGAGATACGACGCTGAAAACGAATATATATGAACGACGGTCTTTCTCGTTTGTTTATCCCTCGTTTACCGCCAACTGCCAAAACCGCGGATACAAGCAACACAATTCATCCCGGAAGGATTAACAGCTTTCACGTTGTTGCCGAGAACAGAAACGATCACCGAGACGTGCACATTAACCTGAATTATTAACAGTAATTAATGTGTTTAATAATTAACTGACGGCAGCGCACCCTGAAAGTTTAATTGCGGGCGACACACACGTTGCCCCGCCGCATTCGAAATACATGATTACTAGGCAGTAATGTGCTAATAAACGCTTCGATTGGCGTCGATCTTTCCCATCAAAATTTTATGACCTGCCTCGCAATCAATCGGTAATTCGAGAAAAGATCGAGATACGGTAAGGATCCGAAGAGATGGGAGTGCGCTTTCGTTGCCCAATTAGAAGAGACGATTGGCTGACGATTACTGCTTGCCCGATTTCTTGTTCGATCGCTCGCCTGGAAAAATACGAAACAATTCGTGTGTGCGTGTTTTCGAACTTTCTTCTTCGCGAAAAGAAATTACTTCACAAGTTCACAGCGAACAAATAAATACCTTTGGTGGATTTTTTGGTATTGGTCTCCGGTTTACACCTCTTGGTAAGTCGTCGCGTCTTATCGCAGGATGTGTCGCTGTTCGCCTTTAAATTGTCGATTCTCGTCATCATTTGATTCACGCATCCACTCCACGCGCCTTTCTCGTATCGGCATGCTGGGATCGACAATACACCAGCGAATTAGAAAAACGTGCCGTGGACGTGGGACTTCCTGTCTAACTCCGCACACAATACGGGGAGAGAGAAATTATAAACGTGACTCACCTTTCTTGCATTTTTTCTGGATAATCTTGGTCTGCTCGCAGGACTTGTCGCCCTTCTTGAGGTTCAGAGTGCGCGACCGCAGGTTGGTATTCGAGTCGCATTCCGACCATTGACCCTTCACGTATCTGCACGACGAGGAGCTGCCGGATGCTGCGTCAGCAGACGCGAAACGTCAATAGAAACAATTGGACGCAACGTCGATCAAGCGAATAAAGAGAAACTTTAAAGGAGGATAGGAAACGACTTAATTATGCCGTTCGTGCACATGTGCGTACGTGTGTTATTACGCGCGTACACATAGCACGGTAAACATCGCGTCAACGTTACAATTTCCTTCTTCACAATACGTAACCGTTACGCACAATGTTACGTGTTTATATTGCACTTACATATTGTCGAGTGGGAAAAATTGTAACATCTGTGTGTTATTACTCTCGTTACGCTTGATGTTTTCAACCGGGTGATGTGTGAACGATCTCTCTGTTACGAGTGCTCGAAACGAGGTACACGATCGGGAGAGAGGAGGAGGGAAAGAACAACGCGGATTAATTACAGAAAGAACTCACTTCGTTCCTTAGTGCCGCGCACCGTGCGCACGAGAAGCTCCTCTTTGTCGTCGTCTTTGTGAACGGTTTGAGGATGATCCTCATCCTCGTCCCACAGATCATCTGTTTCCGCTCGCGCAGTCGTAGAGATCATCAACAGGGCGATGGCCACAAGAGCCAAACTCCAACACAGCTTCATTCTGTTTGGGAAAATAAGAGAGAGAAAACGTTTCGTTAAGCCTCCGTAATCTCACATAATCGGAGTCGTTTCGCAATATTATTTCGCTTATCGAGGTCGCAGCGCGGTTTGAGACGCGTTGTTTCAGAGGCGATATTTTTGAAAAAAAAAATAAAAATTCTTTTAAAATAAATTAATTCTCGGATTACTCTGTAAACTGTAACACATAGGCCTATTGATTTTAAAATGGGAACTCTCATAAAAGAGAGTACTTTTATCTCATCGCGCTAAACTGTACTCCAATAAAACACGAGTATGATCGTCGTGGCGGATTTAACGGTCGTGAATATTTCATTTATCTCACGGGCGATTACGAGCGGTTTTTAATTAGCGCCAAATTCTGAGAACGATAATTAAGCGACATCAACGGCCGCATAGTGTTCTGACCGACCGATGAATGGATACTCCAGACCGAAGTAATGAGCGGCAAAACATCGAGCAATATCGAGCGAATCGCTCGCGATATATGTTTTTCATAACGACGCGCTTTGTGTTTTTTTTTTTTTTTTCGCAGCCATTTCGAGATCGTCGGCAGACCCTTGACGCCGACGAGAGATTTGCCGACGTTAATTAAACCTGGTCTGTCAATCTTTATTAAAACGACCCGACTCGACGATGATAACTGCGGCACGGAGAAAATGCCGCGCGGGCACAAAAGACTTTCGCGCGACTTCGAGTTCGCAGAATCCCAGCTGGCGTTCGTTAACGCGCGATTATTAAACTTTTCGAGGCGACGCTCTCGTTAAGATTCATTGCGATTATCTCGGTCTCATCTCTCCATGAGACGAGAGTAGCGCGGTATATAGCGACAAGTTACTCTTAACGAGAACTTCAAAGGATAATCGAGCCCATGCGAACGCGGGACTAAACACACGTGGGATAAGACAAAAAAATATATAAAAAATTTAATCCGACACGTCGCAAATATAATTCACTCGCTCCTCAAACATTCGTATTCTCCTCCTGATGCTTTTAGTTTCAGTTCGCTGTGCGTCGACCTCGTTTAAATAATCTTGTCTACGTTTCCGCGATAGTGGACACTCCACGATTTCGATAACGCAATTTCGAGTGTTGTTGCGCGATATATACGTACATCCATTTACAAAACATATATTAAATATATTATATGTATATATTATATAAATATATATATATTGTAATTATAAATAATATACAAAATATTTAAAACGAACGGGTCGCGCGCACTCCCCTGTTTTGTACGCGCGCACAAATTGCACATTAATAAAAAAGTTACGTTAAATTAAGTTAAAGTTAAATTTAATTGAGTTATACAAGTTAAAACTGAGTTTAATTAAGTTAAGAAAATTAAAGTTTAATCAAGTTGAAAAAAAAAAAATTCAAACAAGAGATCCGGGATTAAAATCCATTTCAACGCAAATTTCACGAAAGACGTCGATCCGCACATCGAATGCCCTGTCTCCAGTTCAGCGCGCGGAAGCTGAGGATTGATTTATTGGAGGGTGCGCGATGATATGCACGCACATCAACGATTGACTCAAGGTCTTTTCTTAGATCGATGGCATCGCTTCGCATGCAAAGCGAGATGATGCGCCTACGGCGAAATCAGAACAGATCGGAGCAGCCATCGCCAAGGCCACGGAACTAATTAATCACTGACGATAAAGCGGGAGGAGCATCGCGCGCGCAGAGGATAATTTAGCGAGCGACACTTTCATCGAGACGATATATACATAGATCGTTCCTCGTCGCGCTAACTGTGCTGCCGAGTTCGCGTTTGAGAAGACGCCGCAATTTCTCGCGGTTTATTTGCTCTTTACATTCTGGAAGAAGAAATATTCAAACCTGCAAAATTATAACATCCAATTAGGAGATTGGGGAGTTTGAAAGCTGTTTGCAAAGATCGGGGGAGTAAATTCCTCGAACTCAAAACACACATCCCCTGGAGAAATTTGAGATACAAGTAGGATTAGAGAACGCGGAGATTAGAGACTCTAATGCGTGATATCAATAAAACAAGTTAAAAAAAAAAAAAAAAAAAAGAATAATAGAGAGAATCAAAGTGCGATACGCATTTCGTTCGTGTCATATATATTTTATTCGCGTACGTGCGCGCTCATTATTTATATATATATACAGTCGCTCCCCCTCCTATTAGTCGACATTGAAACAATCAAAACTGGTCAGCAATCTTTGCTGGAACACACGGACGCAAATACATCGGTGCTGGTTTGTTTCTCCCCTAAGCGCGAGTCTCCTCCTACGCTTGCATTCGCAAACGAGATTCGCAGAGAAAATCGTACACGGCAAGTGAACGCGAGGATTGACGGAATTGACAAAATTATCGTCGCGTCAGAAATGCCGGACGCGAATGAGACAGAGCGAGCGGACGTTGCCTTGTTCAAGTTCGCCGTCAAAACCATTGTCGGTTCAACAACGTCGCGATGTGGACGAGCAGGAGAAAGAACGAACGTGAAAGAGAGAAAGAGAGAGAGAGAGAGAGCTTGTAGGAAAGCAAAAGAGAGAGAGAGAGAGAGAGAGAGAGAGAAGTATTGCGGATAATATGTCGTCGAATATAGACCGGCGGGGACACGCTCGCGTATATCCATCGTGAGCAAGGGGACGTTGCCCGATGTCCAGATATACGCTGGCTGCAAGATTCTTCAATGTGTGTTTAATTCGCGTGCACGCAATCTCGTTGTCTTTTCCTCGCACCTGCACACACAGGAGATGTTTCACACACCCACGGGACTGCGAAAAAAAAACTTTTTATCTCAACAAAGCGTCAAAAATCGTAGAATGTGTGTAAAAGAAAGAATGTCGCGCGCGATTGGAAAAATTAAGAAACTCATTTATACGGAATCCATGTTGGTGAACGCGAACTCGTACAGAGGGAGAAAAATTGTTACGCGGGTGTGTGGGTCGAATCGTAAAAATATTTACGTTTCTAAGAGTAGACCAAACGAGAAAAACATGGAGAATCATTCGGGGAATGCGTGGAACGTTTCGACGTAACTAACTTATCAATGAAGAAAAATAAACGTGCAGATAAAGCACGGCGTTGCCGCCGCGCGATATCGAAACCGAAAGGCTGACGGCGTGAATTAAAAGCGAAACGTTCTCCAGAAGCGATGTGATTCACGCGCGTTATACTCTTTATTATGACTGACTTATTTAAAAAAAAAAAAACGCGAACTACTATTGTAAACGCGACGTCTTTTCTCTCTTTCTCTCTCTCTCGCGTGCGCGCGCGCTCGATGAATTTTCGTGCCAATAAATACTCTCGATCTCAGCGCGCAGAGAAAATTGATTGTTGATTTGGTAAATTTAAACTTACTGTACTCGAACGAAACGAGAAATATCAATGTTGCATAAATAAATCACCCTTCGACCTTTCTTTCTCCGCTGTCGTCATCGCGCAATTCTATACAGGCGGGTCCAAAAAAGTGTACAATACAAAAATAATTCGTCATATAAATTTTACACCGGCTCTACTCCGTTTTGTTCCATCTCCTGCGCAACATTGACACGTACATGATAATTGACGCGTGTGTAATCGTTTTTTTTTTTTTTTTTTTTTTTTTTTACGTTGGAGAACAGCGTTAAATGAATCTCCTCTCCCCTTCCCCCTCCTGAATAAAAGCCCTGAACGCAAACTAGGATTAACATCCTCTCTCTCGAGAGTAAGAAACTAGACATCGCCTAGAAACAAGCTCTCTAGCTTTCGGCCTCAACGATGCTGCTAGTGCGCTCGCGCGGCACGTTTATAAATAGCTCGAAAATGAGGGGTTAAAAGGTTACAGCGAGTCTGCTGCAGCCCTAAAAAACTGACTTGTGTCACTTTACAAGACCTACGCGCTGGTCACGCGGCTGCAGAAAGTAACGAGGACGAATTAGCCGTCATTGCGCTTGTCCAGCGCGTCTCTCGGAATTATTGTCGGAGGGAATTTTACGCCCGCCCCCTTTTTCCCCCGTTCTGTTCTGCAAAACACGCGAATAATCTCTGGGACGAGTAGACAAGATTTGTTTTATTTTGTTTTGCTGAAAAAAAAAAAAAAAAAAAAAAGACATATTTTGTGTGTGAGCGAAACGTCATTATCTTTCGGGCTCTCAATTGAAGAACGAGACTTATTTTAGCTGCGTCTATTTGTGATAAAAAGCTTGATTCACATAACAGTCTTCTCTAATCATTTTCAACTTGAGAGAGATAATATAACCGAGATATAGAATAAGGAAGTTTATAGTTCATTTAGCGTGCTTGCCGAATGAACTAAAGTCCATCTTTGCGCATGTATACAATAGATAAATTTTTTGTCCGTTTTACCTATCTCTGCGATACACTCTCGCGTTCGATCATCATTCATCAGAGAGCGGGAGGGAGAGAACGTATCCGCGGAGGGAATCTGCGGACTGAACTCTAAAGACAATGAAGATCGTGGAGGATAGAGAGACGTGAAGATAAAAAGGAGAACTCAACTGAGAGATCCAAAGAAAGAGCGAGAGAGCGCGCGCGGGGCGCGGATGGAATGAAAGGAGCATCGATCGTCATCATTGCGTCGCAGTGCGCGCGCCTGATGGAAAAAGATGCTTTTAATTTGATCCCTCTCGATCGTTCTCGACCCGTTCCTGGTTCGGCGCGCGCGCGGCGGGAGCGGGACCAGCGGTGACGCGCAAAAAATTGAATCTTCACCATACTGTCAGAGAAGAGTGGTGAAATTCAGGGGCGGGTCTCCGCTCCGCTTGCTCGCGGAAAATCGATCAGCAGCGCCGGGCGGCGGCATCGGCGTTCTGCTCTCTCTCTCTCTCTTTCTCTCTCTCTCTCCCTCTCTCTCGCGCGCGCGCGCGAGAGAGAAAGACTCACCTGCCACGGGGATGCTGAGTAGCGAACCAAGCTCGATCAGCTTCCAGACGCACTCCCGACTAGTTCTGTATGTTTACACGACGATGCGGTCGTGGACACGCTCGTTGAAGGAGACGCTGCAGATGCAGACTCCGCTTCGCGATGCGGCCGAATGATCAGCTGCGTCGTACGAAGAACTTTTATATATCTGAACAGCTTCGTGTACCTCCTCGACGTTGCGGTGCCGTCGACTGCTCCACTACTACGTGTTGCTGCAGCCACTAGGCACTGTCGCCGTCGACCGGAGTCATCCCCCTCCCCGAGAGTCCGACATCCCTCAGGCGCCACGCATATTCCTCCCCGCTCCATCTGTCGATCTTCCCCCTTCTTCGCTGCCGTCGTCATGGTGATCATCCCTCCTAGGAAAGAGAAAGACGACTGGATAAATAGAAATAGAATCACGGGATAAAGAAGAAGAGAGACAAAATTGTACAGGATGTTTCAAAGTGAAGTTAACAGCTTAATCAACCAGAAAGCGCGATGTTCGTTGAGAAAATTAAAATGAGAAAAAGTTCAAAAAAGATTCGGGAGCAAATTAAATTTACATGTTGAGATATTTGATAACGCATATACACGGGCATTAAAAACGAAAATTGTGCAAAAAACGTGTGTAACGGAAAAGTATAGTATAGGGTACAGTATAAATCAAAACTTACTTGCGTGATGATGGGAAAGAAATAATGACAACGTGTTAATTAGGATTGCTTTCAAAAATAAACATTTATTTCAAAATTAATGCTTACCATTAATGCTGTATTCTAAAAACTAAGATTTCTATCCTAGAGGACACCGAGTGTGTTTAGGTGTTGTCTTAAGATTCCTTAAGAATTTATACCGCATTATTAAGTTTGTGTACAATTTTTGTATAGTACCTTAATGGGCTTTACAGCGAATTCAGCTTAGCTAAAGCTGATTCATGAAATCACATGACATTCTTCGCACTTTTCAAAAAGTTCCCAAGAGATCAAGCTTCACAGATCCAAGGATCGATAGATATAAGAATTCAGAACCTTTAAAAGGTCAAAGACTACAAAATAATAATAATAATAATAATAATAATAATAATAATAATAATAATAGACTTCGAAAAAAATCCACAGAAAATGTACAAACCGAATATTATTATAATATACAAGAATTCCGAAGTCTAAAGATCCTAAGATCCAAAAATTAGAAAATCCAAAAAACCCAAAAATTTCAGGACCCCGTTGGGATTCCTATCGACTTAAAGATCTGAAGTTTTTTTTTTTATCGCCTTACATTCTAAATGCACCGCATTTTTGATGCGTGATTCGTACCCTAATTCGACGATTCAAAATTATGTGTACAAAACTGAGTTGCGCGTTATTTTCTTACACCATCAAATACAATTCGACGCAGTTCTCACTCTCCAATATTTCGATAAAGAGTAAAATGATAGTACCGCTAAGTGATGATATCACATTCATGGTTCGGAGTATGCGCTATTGAGGATTTTTAGACAGTATCCTTTGTAGATTGTACCAATTCTCCAAATGACGTTTCCAAACATTGTCGCAGCTCTGCAAAACTTACCACTAAAATACTCTGTTCATCTCGTGACATGAGGCATACCTGTGCGTATTAACACAATTGGAGATTATTTTCTGTTCACACACGCGCGCTCACACATATACAAACACACACACACACGCACGCACTGCGAGAAAGAATAATTAAACACTTACCTTGTCCTGCGAGCCCGAATCCAACTTATTTAGACAAGCTACGACATGCGCCAGATCCAACCAAGGTCTTCCGTCAGTTGACACTTGATGAAACACATAATCTCTAAACAGTTTGAGCATGTAGCGATCGCCCGTTTCCGCCCATGTAGGTTCCATATTGAGTTCCGGTCTTTCATTGATTGTTGCCAATTTGACCAGTAATTTAAATAGCCGTCCGTTCTCTAACTCCTTGGCAAGTTCGTTCTCCAAAACATCCAACCGTAATTGAGCGGCATCCAACTGCGTGTAAAATCGCGCACCAATCATCGGCATGAGATCTGTGACGCTCTTACGGGGTTGATTTGACAGCAAGTACCTAATAATTGTATAGTATTAGATTGTAAAAGATCGCAACCTTAAATCGAACTGCGAAAATTAAGCATTATTATTATGATTTTCGAGTATCATTAATATTACATACAGGATGAGATTTCGAAGGTCAGTAGAGTAGGAACGTGTAATCAGCTCGATAGAAGCTGACATATTGTCGCGATGGACGGCGATAAGGCTTCGACATGCTAGAGCTAAAACCAACTTGCCGAGTGCTACTAAATCCTCTTGCTGATAATGTGGAATGAGGGTGAGAGGATTTGCAGCGTTCCCATCAAGAGTAACTACATCTGGTATAGCGACACAGCTCAAACGAAGTCGCGTTCTCGATGTAAGTAGTACCTTGGTGGGATCTAAGCATCTATACGCCAAGCCTGCGAGAAAATGAAATTGTTTCTTTAATAAACAAGCGCAAAAACGATAAAATAAATCGATAAAGTAAAATACCAACCAGCAGCATGAATGACACGAAATGCGGCAGTGAGTTGAATAATGTAACTCCAAATAACACTTTCCGGCAGCATGCTGCTATGCTGCTGTCTCAGGATAGTGTTTTTGGTGTGACTATAAGGCCGTGGCGCGTTGGGGTCTGAGGAGAACGGATCCGTATAACCGTTGAGCTCGGTCGAAGAGAAATGTTTATTCAATAAAGTCTCCGAAGCAGGGTGATAATCGTATACGAAAACCATGGCTGCAAAAGAAATCGATCAAGAATACAGAAGGGAGCGAGAATACCGAAGGAGGAAGAATAGAAGATTTTGATTAGTATTTTAATACGAACAATGATCACCAAATGCTTTAGTGGTGAAAACTTCCCTCAATTGAACCAGATTTGTGTGAGACAGTCGTTTCCACATGTCAACCAATACCATACATTTTGTATTGGCAAGTCGAAAATCTAGCAAATATCAATCAAGTCATCATCAATCGACGTTAGTTTCGCATAAATGCTGATATGAATTATTGGAAAAAATGGAAGAAAAACCAAACTCTCTCAATTTACTTACCATGTACACGACGTAAACAGTAACGAGTGCCAGTCTTGATATTGGTAGCTTTGTACGTAGAAGTCTGATACCCGAGAACTGTCGAGGCAGGTTTATGTATTGGCTCTAAAGGGCACAGCTCGTGATAATTATCAACCTCATTAGGCAAGTCGGGAAATCTTACTACATCTGGTTGTGTCAATGTCAATGCATTTTTTTGGAGAATGTCCAACCGCAAACTCTCACTCACAAAAAAACTAGGGGCAGCTTGAGGAGGAGGTGTAGAAGGGGCAGAAGAATTATTAGATGAGGGTGGTTTGGCAGGTTTTATAGGTTGTAGATGCGAAGGTGTGCCCGGATACACATAACCGATCTGGCCTGCTGTTACAGGTCCGATCTGAAACAGGAAATAAGAAAGAGTAATTAATTGTGCGACACTTATTACGATGTGGCAAAATAAACCTACTCTTATATTTACATAAAAAATACTCACCTCAGTTCCATCTTCTGCTCCAACAGCATCACTGGTGGCATTTCCGAAATAAAAGTACGTAGTGCCACCCACATTCTCTTGCGAATGTGTGTAGGAGTTGTTAAAGAGATTTGGCGAGCTGCTATTGCTGCCCGCAAGGCTTCTTCCTGGCACAAATTCGGGACTAGCAGTTATCTTCTTTTGTGAGTCCAGAGAAAGATTGGACAAATGCTTAGTCACTGAACTTGTGTTCAATCCTATAGCAGGACTCTGACGATTCTGTATCAAACACATGGCACACAGTAAATTCGGGAAAATCTCTTACCATCGGTAATGCAAAACTAATTCAAATTTACCATGTAGGTAGCAAGTTTGGACTCCAACGGAACTCCATTTGTTTGGGGAGAATATGTGACATACATTGCTGGATCCATTGTTCCCTCAGCCACTGCATTTACTACTTTTGTTCTTACCTTTCTTCCTTGCTCTCTATTATGTTCCTGATTACATTTACTGCCCACTTATCTCTCAAACCAATTCTACTGTGGAATTCTTTATTTTGGCATTTTCTTGTCTCAGCCTTATATACATAAATTGGAATCTCAGCCTTCTGACATGCGTCCTGTGACATATCTTTAAACACCATCAATAAAAACATATTCATGGAATCATGTATAACATAAAAAAGTAGTTCTAAAGTATGCATTGTCTATTAATAAATGCTTTATTAATGTAGACTTCTTTGTTAAAGTGTATTTACTGTAAACTCTACAACATAAAATATATTAATATAATAATATTACAAAATATAGTTCATATGAAACCAACGTTTCTCAAGGAATTAAAGGCTTTGTCAGGTCAAATTTTATCTAAGTGTAATATACATTAGTTAAGAAGAGTTTTTAAGAACCATAATTAAGTATATATCTCAATATCAAACGTGTCTGTACACTTCCACTAACAATTTCTTCTCACATAAGCAAAACCGACAGAAAGTGAGGAAACAAAATTTCATAGTATTAAATCGCGAAAAAAAAAAAAAAAACGCATTCGGTGCTAAGCGAGTACAAAGACACAATAACGGTTCGTTGGCTAGCGATCTAGCATGGCGAATAAAAATAGAGGAGGAGAAGAGCGCCAAAGCCAACAATGGCAGCTGATTTTGACAATAGATCGACGGGAAAAACGCGCGACGTATGATGCCGAGCTCCGAATTCACTAAGAATCACGGGCGATAATCGGGTAGCGTTTTTGGCGCAAAAGCGAGACAAGGAAAACAACGCGTAAATAACGAGCGCGTCTCAGGTGCGCGCGAGTAAAACGCGGGTACGCCGTACGCCAACATAACCCATTCGTACTGTCACACCGTTCGCCAACGCCAACACCGCCGCCACCGCCGCTGCCGCTGCCGCCGCCGCCGCCGCGTCGGCGTTGCTTTATCGCGTGCTACTCGGCGGCGCAAAAAGCGCGGAAATCTCTCGCGGTTTTGCCGTCTCGTCGTTGCGTTGGCTCGTTGAACGTACGTACGAACAAACGGATGGACGGGATCGCCGCTCTCCTCTTCCTCGAGTTTCTTTCTTTGTCTTTTTGTGTCTGCGAAAATTTATTTTCTTACAGTGAAGATACGAAGAACGTGAACTGGATTGTGTCGTATCACAAGCACGCTTCTGTGCAGATTCGGCGGACCGATAACGGTGAAAGCGTAATATATTCACTACAATTTCTGCTTCGTCTCTCGATCGTATATGCACACACGATGCTTGCGTGTTTACACGATGTAGGGTCTTTCTCTCCCTTCGCTCTCTCCCTCGCTCTTCGCGAACTTACATACACCTCTGTACTCCGATCTGTGTATCGCCGCGCCACGATCCGCGTCGACGTTTCTCCTCCTCCTCCTTCCTTTACCCTCCTCGCGAAAGCGCGCTCTCCCGCCAGCCAACGCAGTCTCTTCGATCGCTATTGTCTCGCGATATGACTGTTTTTAAGTACTCGATGCCGAATTGTCGTTAATTTTGTCATTTGTCTCAAAGCAATCTCAAGTCCCGTGAGAAAATAACGGCAAATGACAGATAAAAAAAAAAAAAAAAAAACCTTTTTCACTTGTCAAAGAATCCGAGATTCGGATATGATAAGATATATATATCGAAATATAAAATCCTCTTCCGCGATGCTCGATTCCATCCGAAGTTCACAATGAATGTATTTGAAAAAATGTTTATATCTTAGAAACTATAAATTATTTTTTGTTATAATATTTTTGTTACAAACTATTTGCTATTGTAAACTAGAACTTATGTGCTTGTTCCTTAAATAAATATAAAAGCCCCTTGCACAATGCGAGAGAATAGTAATAGCGATGAGCAATAAACACAGAATTCCTCAACTCGTCGGAAATTTTATCGCTATTGCTTATTCCGTTTTCTGAACCGCATTGATACATGTGTATTTTTTGTATGTTCGACTTCCGATGTTCCTACCGTTATTTATAAATATAAACTCTTTGAAACTAGTGTTATTTCTATAGCTATCGCTATTCCTTCCATTGTGCAAGGGGCTTTAAAGTCAATCGTGCTCTATGTAAAATACGGAGTAGAATAAAGATTGGTTCATTAGTCGATCGAGCGTCAACCAACCGTGATTTAGTCAATTCGGCTGATCGACCAATCGGTCGACCGACTGAATCGACCGTTAGCGTTTGATCGAAATTGGAAACAGAACGTTGCAAATCCGGCTTAATGTTTGATTATATTTTGCAGTTTCTCGATTTCTCCTGGCCGCGCCGCTTTTTTACCGGTTGCTCTCAGGTTATTTCACGCTGATTCGTTGTGTTTGAATATGTAACATTTCTGAATGTTTCGATCAGTTTTGATTCTCATGTTTTACACGCACGTTGTTACACGCAATTGTACGAGCGTTACCTTGCTAACGTTTTGATGTGAGTTGAAAAACACAGATAGACTCAGCACTGTGTACGTTCGTTGAATTAGTATACATATACTTTTAATATATATCGAATAGATATAACAAAAATAAGTTATAATCGAGAAAGAAACAATGAGCACGCCGCAGTCTAATAAGAAGAAAGGCAGGAGCCGAATGGGAGTGCTCAGTGAAAGTGCAAGTCCCTCAAACACTGAGACACTCAGCAGCCAGGAATCGGCAAAGTTTGTTTTGGTATGAAAATTTTCACATTAGCTATAGAATGTCTAATTAACTACAGATTGTATTGAATCAGCCTTTTATATTTTACACACAAAGAATACATGTATGTACACACTCTTTATAAATATATATATATATATATTTTTTTTTTAATATTCAAAGGTAAATTGTATTGGAGAAGATGGAAATAAACAAATTAAAATAGGTATTAATGAAGCCATTCCTATAATTTCCATGGATGCAAGTATGTATGAGGAAAAAAGTTTACAAAAAACGAATGCAGCGACATTAGAAAAGGAGAAAGAAGACAAGAACATTCTCAGCACTTTGCCTGTTGCTAAATTTAAAGTAATAGATGGCTACGAAGAACAATTAGGAGAAGCTGAACCACTTCCAAATTCTTATATCAGATTTATGGAGCGCAGTGGCGAAGAGCTTGATGGTAAATAATTTATATAAATTATCTCATGTAATAATTATATATTATGTAATATATTTACTTTAAAAATTTTTTACAAAATTTTACAAAAACTTTTACAAACTTTTTATGAAACTTAAATAACTTCTACAATAAAAATCATTACTTTCTTGTAATTAGTATTTTCTATTAAATAGTAAACACAAGTAGTAAAATGTATTACTCACTTTATATCATTAAAATCTGTGTTATCTCGTGTTATCATTAAATTCCTTTAATATATATTATTTAATATATATTATTTGCCTTAATATATATTTTAAATGTAATATTTAAATTATTTTAATAAGGAGAAGTAGAGTATGATCTAGATGAAGAAGATACTGCATGGCTTTCCATTGTAAATGAAAGAAGAGTAGCCTCTGGATTGACTCCTGTGGAACCGGACACATTTGAGTTGCTGATGGATAGACTAGAGAAGGAATCATATTTTCAACAACAGAGCAATGGTGGAGGTGGAGTTGCTGCTGATGAGGATGCTGTTTGTTGCATTTGCATGGATGGAGAATGTCAAAATAGCAATGCAATCCTGTTTTGTGATATGTGCAATCTTGCTGTTCATCAAGATTGTTACGGTGTACCATATATACCCGAAGGTCAATGGTTGTGCAGAAGATGTCTTCAAAGTCCATCCAGAGCTGTGGATTGTGTCCTCTGTCCAAACACGGGGGGCGCTTTTAAACAGACCGATCGTCCTTCGGAATGGGCACATGTAGTGTGCGCTTTGTGGATACCAGAAGTAAGATTTGCCAACACTGTGTTTCTAGAACCTATTGACAGTATAGAAAGTATTCCACAAGCTCGTTGGAAGCTTACATGCTGTGTGTGTAAGCGTAGAGGAGTAGGCGCCTGCATACAGTGTCACAAGAGTAACTGCTACGCGGCATTCCATGTAACTTGTGCTCAGCAAGCTGGTCTTTGTATGCGCATGAGAACAGTACAACCTGCTAACGGTGAACCGATGTTAGTACAAAAGACTGCTTATTGTGAGGCACACACACCTGTTGATTACCAGCCTTCTACGAATCCGGTAGACGCTAGGAGGAGAGCAATTGCCAATAAGAAAAGCTCATCAGCACCTGTGATTTCTATCCCCACCATACCGCCTGAAAGGATCAGAGAAATTGCTAGGTAAATATAAATTATTGTGATCCTGCTTATATAAAAAGTAAACAGGTTGCAATTATTATTTGAAACTAATAATTGATATACTTTTATAGTTAGGCGAAATATGTATATTAAAACAAAAAATAATGGTTTAAAGGATTAATTGATTTTATACATGTTTGTTGTTTTGTCTCAATCAGTTTACTTGATGGAATACCAAAGAAGAGTCAATTGATACAACGTATTATTGCCTATTGGACATTGAAGCGACAATACAGAAATGGCGTTCCACTTCTCAGAAGACTACAAAGTTCGCATCCACAATCTAGACCACCTCCGCTCGGAGAACATTCTTCCTCGCCAACACACGACAGCGAAATTAGAGGAGAAATGTGTCGCCAGCTTAAATACTGGCAATGCTTGCGTCAAGACTTGGAACGCGCGCGATTGCTTTGCGAATTAGTTCGAAAGCGTGAGAAATTGAAGAAGGAACTCATCAAAGTGTGAGTTACTATCTCATAACATGATACATGATAATATAGAAATCATTTCAAAAATAGTTATTCAAGTAAATCTTGATTACAGAAAGGAAAAATGTGTGTTCCTTCAATTACGACCAGTGGAGAGTGTTTTGCGTGCATTACTGGAAGCGATAAAAGCAAAAGATGTAAATGACGTATTCGGGCAACCAGTCAATATCAAAGAAGTTCCAGATTATCTCGAGATAGTATCGCAACCTATGGATCTCTCGACTATGGAGGTAATTAACTCAAAATCATTTTGAATTATATATGTATAAAATATGTACTTTTTGTATTTGTATTTGTTAAAATATTTTATATGTATCTGTAATTTATTAATAAAAATGTCACACTCTTTGCTTTCAGGCAAAATTGAAAGAAAATGAATATGATTCCATTTTGGCTTTTGAGGCAGACTTCAACTTAATGGTGAACAATTGTCTAGCGTATAATCGCAAGGATACTATGTTCTATCGGGCAGGAACAAAAATGAAAGAGCAAGGTGGAGCTCTGATAGAACAAGTTCGCAAAGATTATCCAGAACTGGATTCAGTCACCGAAACCGAACCGATCAGCTCTAAATCAAGGAAAAGAGAAAGACCTAATCGTAGTCGTGCGGAAACTGAATCGCAATCAACCGAGAAAGAGATCGGCGGAGGTGTAAATAGAAGAACAGCCGTGCTATTTACGCGTAAAGCTAGAGCGCGTAATGTTAAAAGCGGACAAATGTTTTCTCCAGACGACGACAAAAAATGTAAACAGAGTGATAGCTTTAAAGTATATAGGTAAGACATTACACTTGCTGCAAGACACAACTGTGTCTTGATGTATATAATAATTTGCAGCAGATTTCTTCTGAATTATCACTATTTGTAATAATTATGATGCAAGTAAACGAAAAAGGATTGCAGAAAATATTATATTTTCTATATTGTTTGATACTCTCGATATGTTAAACATTTTTATATATTACTAGGAAGAATACACGCACGTATACATGTATTAATGTAAGACTATTTGTGTAGGAGTGGAACAATGGATAGTGATGTAGGTGAGGGAGAAAGTCAATCGTCAAGTTGCAGTAGCTGTTCCACGAGTAGATCGACTACTCCCGATCCAGAAGAGGAAAAACAAGAGATAGTCGATACAAAGAAAGAAAATGAGAGTAAACAAGCGAGTAGCACTAACGGTATTGAAGCTTTACAGCTTGTATGGGCTAAATGTCGGGGATATCCTTGGTATCCAGCCTTGATTATTGACCCTAATACACCCCGTGGCACTATACATAAAGGAGTGCCAATTCCAGCACCACCTGAAGACGTTCTAGCACTTGGGGATAATTACAAAGAACCTGTTTTTCTTGTTCTATTCTTTGACACCAAACGTACATGGTAAATAATTTCTTAATAGAAATTCACCACATTAATACACAAAAATGTTCTATAATAATATTCATTATTATTATATTTATTTGTTAATTTATATAGGCAATGGTTGCCAGGAGAAAAATTAGAAAAACTTGGAGTGTCACAAGAAGTGGACGAAGCAAAATTAATCGAATCGCGTAAACCTGCGGACAGAAAAGCTGTGAAGAAAGCTTATACCGAAGCCTTAAATTTTCGCACCCAAACACACAATGCTGTGGTGGACAACATTTCAACCGAATAAATCTTGTCAATATAGTAACAAAGCGCTAGATTATTGTTTTATAAGTATTTGCATTGTAACGATTATTTCAGAAAGTTTGGTATATGTAACAAGATAGATTACATATCTAAACGTGTACATGTGTTAGTAGTGTACATGCCATATATGTAATACTCCTATATTGCTAGTCGCGTATCTTCGCAATGAGAGGCACGAGGTCCGAGAAAGGGAGACCCACGAAGTCCAAATATGGGCATAGATGGTCGAGCGTCATTATGCGCAGGCGCATCTACCAAGTGAGTGCGAGCGAGACAAAGCATTAGAAAGTGAGAGAAAGAACGCGAGAAAGAGAAATGCGCAAGCGTGCTTGAATGTTCACCGCATGCGCACAAAGCAGCTGGAGAGAGAAGCTACTATATTGTCTGCACCGTAACGGTGAGCTTCAGGTCGGCACCGTACTAGCAATATAGGAGTATTACATATATGGTACATGCACAGTTTTGCAAATGGCGTCCAACCGTAAAAACCTATTCCCTTGAGCGGATTCCCTCCCAATGAACCGTAAAAATCGGGACCACTTTTATATCACGGAGTTCGATCTCCTTAGACCTGGTTTATGCGGGCAATAACTGTTAACTTATGCCGGAATCGGTAGAGTTTAACTATAGGATTTCAATGCTTCTGTTTATACAAAAGTGCCGAATGCGTATAAACAGAAGTATTGGAATCCCATAGTTGAACTGTACCAATTCCGGCATAAATTAACAGTTATATTACCCGCATAAACAAGGCCGAAACAAGGCCTTATTTGCCGGCATAAACCAGGCCTAATTTATAAGTTGTGATAAGGCTGGATCCTCATGCAGACACCGGCGCTTTGACATCGAGCGTTAATTGGTGAAAAGCGGATGGTGAGGGTAAATGGCAGCTCAATTTACCCTCACCATCTGCTTTTCACCAATCAACGTTCGGTGTCAAAGCGCCGGTGTCTGCATGAGGATCCAGCCTAGAAGAACTCCAAGAACCTTACTTCATACTCTATACTGCCTACTCCCATTGTAGACTAGTCATAAAGCAGCGAATAGCGAGAATTGTTTTGAATCCAAAGAAAAAGTTGCGAATCACTCGAATATCACAATGATCATTCCTGTGAGGTGTTTTACTTGCGGAAAAGTAATAGGAAATAAATGGGAAGCGTACCTGGGACTTCTTCAAGCAGAATATACTGAAGGGTAATAGTCTGATTTTGTGATTTCTAACCTCTTGAAACTAATTCATAAAGTTTCTCTTTGTATCACGCAGATTTTCTTACAATTATTTTAAAAATCTTATATCTGCATCAAGTATTACATAAACATAATTACATAAATAATTACGATAAATGTATTGTTACAGAGATGCCTTGGATGCACTGGGTCTAAAAAGATATTGTTGTCGCAGGATGCTTCTTGGACATGTCGATTTAATTGAAAAATTACTTAACTACGCTCCATTAGAGAAATAAAAAGGCTATTTATCACAAATATTTAATACATGTGTATAATGTCTGTATGTATATTTCTTACAATTACAAATATTTATTGCAATGTTTTGCTATTGATGCATTTCATATTTCAGTTGGTAAACATTTTGTCATTTATTAATATAGTATTTTGTATAAGTTGACAATATAAGTTAAATTGTAATTGTTATATATAAGGTTAACATAAGGTAAAATAACATTTGTAATATTTTACACAAAACTGACAAAAACTATTAATTTGTATAAGATTGTAGACATCAAAGACAAACATCTATGTGATAAAATATATATTTAAGAATAGAATTGTATGAACAGCAGTGATGTTATATGTAAAAATCTAATGGAAGTTAAATAAAAAAATAAGAACTGTCTTTACAAAATGTAAAAGTGTTTATATTTTATTTTAGCTACAGTGTTCTCCATGATACAAATTATATTATAAATAGTAAAAATACTATTTATATCTTATGCAAAGATGTGTTTTTACTCGTAAAAAAACGAGCATGTACTTATGTAGCTCTTTTATGTATCAGTTTTCACAATATATATTTTAATGTTAATTTTAAATGCAATATAGGAAGACTATCTAACATAGATACTTTGCTTGAGCAATATATTCTTTCCACATGTAATCTATTTATGTATATGTTTACATTTGACATAAATTTTGAAATTTTTTAACTAACTTTGTTTCTTTATCTTTTTGCCAGAAAAACATTTATTCCACATTACTGCATTATAACATTAAACATTAAAATATCAACTGATACAGTTTTTTTTTAATAAAAGCGTCAGCAAAATATAATCTACGTAATATATATATAGATATATATATATATATGCTTGATATGTGTTTTATCAAAATCTTTCTACAAAGATGCCAGATTTTTTTAAATTATTTCTATAGAGTATGCGATAAATTATTTCTTCAATTATAAATTTTTATAAATGCACATATACAATCAAAATTTTTGTTTTTTTTTTTGTGGAATTTGCAAGATATTCCGACAGTATAAAAACATCACTTTGTAAGAAAATGATTTTGTGTTTTTTAAAAAATATATAACTGCTATTATTTGTTTTACATACAGCAGATTATCTTCTGCTGAATGAATACTGTCATTATTTCTAACAATAAGTCTACGTCTGCTTTCAAACTTACTAAACTGTAAAGTACAACTATGCAAGATTTTATAGAAACAAAAGAATTTGATAATTTTCTACATTTTGCATTTTGCTATAGAGAGATAGGAACAAAAAAAACACATGCTACATTTTTATAAAAGAAAGATCTTACCCAGTAAAAAATTTTCCATATTCGGCACATATAAATTTGCATAATTAGATATAATTATTTTAATTTGTGTATAAGTATATATATATATGAAAAATTTTTTACCGGGTATAGAATTAGATACTTGATCTAACGATATAAGATTGTAGAACACTTTCATTTAGAATTCTAAAAAAATATATACAAAATTTATAAAATCAGTTTTCTCACTGTCACCAATAAATTATAGTGTTGTCAGTGAGAAATTATGCAATTTTGTCTATTATGTTCAGAAATAGTTTTTGCCTATCATCAGTATTTGATAACATGTATATATAAGATCAGAAAAAATTCATAATTTTCGACATATGACTGTATAGAAACACCGAGAATCTTGATTATATTGACTTTGTTTAGAAATTCAATAACTGTTCACGAATGTTGCGTTACACATTTGATTCATCTTAAAAAATATCCGTTACCTACATCGTAAACAGATTCAAAATCACAATAAAAAAAAACTCTTGGTATACACCCGGTTAAGTTATTTGCACTAAATGAAAAATGGAAAACGTATTTTCCATCAAGTGTACAATCGCACTATGTCCATTATGGCACTGCGCGATCCAAATATCAACGCCATCAAACCTATCACACATATAATTACATTCTTCAAGGCTAACCAATTTCCCGGTCCGAAGCCGACGTCCCAATAAGTTACAATTTCAATGAAGACTGGAATGAGAAGGCCCAAAATGGAAAAGCAAAATGCACCGATCAAGCCGATGAATGGTTCAATGGTCGGCACCGCCACAGCCAAAAGAACTACAACAAGCATAATCATTTTGTAGTATATTGTTAACTTGTAAAACATAATAAAACATAACTTACAAAAAGAGAACTGTGAAAAAAAAAAAAAAATGGTACATCTCTGTACATACCTGCACCACACACAAGCACCGTTCTCATAATGTAGTTGGCCAAAAGTGGTTTTTTTTCGAAGCGATCCTTTATGACAGTCCATCCGATATCGAGACACACGTAGAACTGCAAACCGAAGGTACAGAACACTGCGAGAGCAATCAGTATCTTGACAACTTGTGCCGGTCTGTGAAACAAACAAAAAAATCAGCTATAAAAATTATAGGTAATTGAAAAAATGACGTGTGTTATGTAACGTAAATCTATTTAATTCAATCAAACTCAGAGAGCTTACATTTCTTCCGTCGGCAGATTCAGAGTGATACTACCGAGCGCTTGATCTTGATACTTGACATATCCGAGGAATCCAAGCAGAATATAAATGAGAGTGACACCGGACATTCCTCTGTTGAGAACTCCGCAGATTCCTACGAAGTGCTGCGGTGTTTTCATGTTGTTTTCGAGGGGCATCACCACGCCGATCGCCTCTATGGCAAATATGGTAACGCTGAAGAACTGCGGAAAATTTTCCAACTTCGCTACTAAAGGCACTTCGGTCACCGGCGGCAAGTCCCAGACGAGATAATAGAACGTTATACCCAATCCCGCGGCCATAAATATATTTGCTACCATCGAAACTGGCGCGAGGTACTTCAAATCGGGCACCCAACTGAGTAAAATCAATGGCACTAACAAGTAGACAGTGATCAGCCGGATGTTGTACTCGCCGCCGTCCACGTAGTAATGTTCGATAATCTGTTTGATATTTGCGGCGACGATTACCGCGTACACGCTGCAGGTGCCAAAATACGTGGTGAACAGACTGATTTGTATGAGATATCTGCACACAGTACAAGAAATACACATTTCATTGGGGAAGATTCATTTTGGAAGTTACTTGAGACGTTTTGCGGAAAAGAAAATACCTGGAAGGTTTCGCGAATTTTTTCCCCCACTGAGGTCCGTTGTTGAAAGCAGTCTCGGCCACCTCGGCAAATCCCATTTCTGTCTTTCGAGTCTTGTGATAAAGCATGTGCGAGCACTTGACCTGAAAGTTAAGTCAGAAAATGGGAAACGTTATATTCGCGCGTTTAAATTCATATAATTTTTTGTCAAAGAACTGGGTCATCCTCAGCAATGTAACTGCATAAAATATATAGATATTACTTATCACACCGGAAACTTACCAAAATGTACGCGCAATGCGTGCAAACGACCGCGACGAGTATCGTGGCGATTATACCCACGAGCAGTCCGGCATTTTTGAAGGCTATAGGCATGGCCAGTATGCCGGTGCCGAGGGACGCTTTTAACAAGTGCGTCAACGTATCGCAATCCCTGCAAGGTGTGATAATTCATTATTGCAAAAATATTGTCTAAATAGTGAGCAATTAAAATTAGTCTTATCTATGCATTTTAATCAATTGTAACTAATGATAGATCATTCTAGGCATACGTTATACATTGTCAAAATAACGCGCGTCCTTACGTCGTCGGATTGTCGACTTTGCGTTCCGCAAAGGGATCGAAACTCTTCTCATTTTCACCCAATCCACCTTCAACGTCACGCGGAGCGACCTGTACCTTGTACCTGGAAACGCAAATGAAATTGAAAAGAATTATACATTTTCGTGCAACGCTTACCACGTGTAAGTACGCTACAAACTTGTATTTTTAATTATAAACACATATTACATGCGTGAAATTAAATCGGAATCTTACTTGGCGGACAAAACGCCATCTTTTAGGTGGGATCCGTCGTGGGATAGGAAAGTGTCCAATTCCGTCGGAGCTTTGTCGTTTTCCACCTGCGTTAGAAAACACGGATGTTGAAAACGCTATTTATAAGATGATTTCATTTTCTCACTTCTTCTATGACAGAGCGCACGAGTGAGATAAGATTATAAAATTATGACGCGAATATATGCGGAATAACAAATGTGCAATAACGAGCGGATAAATATCCGCGTGTTGAAACACACACTTACCATAGTGGCTTGTTTGCTGGTATGCTATCTCCACTGTTACCTGAAAAAAAAAAAAAAAAAAACATGAAAGAACTTCAAGTTAAATTGTTGTCTTGTGTTATCGTGGTTTTAGACGTGCGAGTGAATTTAAGTGATTTTATAAATTGTATTAAACCAGATTTTATATATAAAAAGCAAAATTAACAAGTTAAACTCTACTTCATTGATATTTGTAATGACGTCTCCAATAAATGATAAGAGAAATTTGTCAGACAAATATTACAAACGACGTAGTCTCGTCTTATGTAAACTCTTATCTACTGTGGCACGACCTTTAACTTCGGAATGTTTTATGCGTTCTTGTGACGTAAATATAAAAAAAGCAAACAAAAAATAGCAGCGAAAAAAAACCAAAATTTCCAACTTGGCAATATCGAGAGTCCAAATTGAAGAAGCTTATGTGCAAAGATCTGGGCGATAGTTTCGTTGTTTGACACTTTTGATAAGTGAACGTAATAGATTGACGCAAAAACTCGTTATGCAAAGTAGCGTCAATCATTATATATATATATCGATTTGCTTTACCGGTTGCACTTTATCGTTAATAACGTATTGCCGAGGAGTTGCAAAATTGTTATCTCACCACGCGAAATTTTCCGTTATTATCATTTTATCGCGAGTTTTTATTCAAACAATTATATAGAAAGTGACACACTTATGACATGGTAATCGACTTACGAACTAACGCGCGTTGTTACAATTCAATCACGTTCGTTTGAACGAGATTGCATTATGCGTGTACATTGCGCGCGTGTGAAAGAGCGTTAACTCTTGTCACTTCCGGGTTCGCGAACTCGGCCCCTTGCTTCGAATAAAGATTGCACGTAGAATCGCAATATACGCAGATTCGTGACCACAATGAAGAAGTAAATAATCATGTGTATCTGTACATAGTGTTTTTAATCTTTAGAAAGCACCGGCTTATAGCCACTATAGCAGCTTTGTATGATAACTATATAAGACGTACAGTAGGGAGCACCATATCGTGCGGCTCCAGGGGAATTTTTTAATTATAAATATTAATATTTTTTTATATAAATTTATTTTTCGAGAATTTCTTCTTTGACTGCTTCTATTATCGCGCGTCGTTCTCCTTCGATCTCTGCCAGCAGCCCGAGATCGAAAGAGAGCAGCGCGCGGTAATAGGAGCAGCTAGAAAAACAATTTCCGAGAAATACTTCCTCTGGAGCCGCTTAATATGGTGCTCCCTACTGTGCGTTACATATGTGCATGAGTTTTGGGTGTCAAAAATACAAGATTTCAAAAAAAAGATGTCGGTCTTCTAAAAGAAGTTAAACCTAGAGAAATTTAATCTCTCCTCATAACTCGTGTCATTCTTCGAATCAATAGCGACCCGCCTATATGGCCTGTGAGTCGGTCACTGGTTCTCTGCCAAGTGTGGGCAAGAAAAAGATCCTTTCGAATTCATTTCACTGAACTCAAAAGCCTAACAGCTGCCACAAGGTAATTTTGCAGTTACAGTTTTGTTGGCACACAAGCTACTTTTTGTCCGAAGTGTAACTAAAGACGCTGTTGGAAGAAGAGAACTTAAGAGAGTGACAACTATACGCTATATAGACGCATTCTTTTTCAAACTTAGGTTTTGCATTTTCTTAATTTTACTAATTAGTGTGTCAAATATATGCAAAAATTTGGAAGTATAATAAATAGATAAAATAACGTTAGTGGAAAATAAAAAAAAAAAACCTACGCAGATAATTTTATATATAGTAAAATATTATTTATAGTTTTTCATAAGAGTAGAGACAGTAATAAAAAACATTCTCTATATTGCTTACGCTGAGAGAGAAGCGAGAGATAATATTTTCCATACACTTGAACTATTTTAAACTTTTTCCACGTAATAGTGCTCCGCGTGCTTATAAAATTTGAATTCGCGATAATAAAGCTAATGCTATGCGCCACGACTGTTGATTTGTAACAATAAGTCGTCTAACAATAAATCAAACTCTGTACATTGAAGATAAAAATAGAATGACAACGATGAACGGCTCATTAATCGTCGACGACCGTAACATCCCCCCGAAACGCTCTATTTCGAAAGCCCGAGAGCAGACCAAGACGATCGAGGACGTTGACTCAGTTTATCTGTCCACGCAATCCTCCCACAAATATTGAAGCGTAGTAATTTTGACGCGTAAGTTTATTTACTTCGGAGAATATTATTTTGGAGTGACACATGACTATGTGCGCCCACCAAAGCGCATGATGATTTTAGCGATATAAATTCTGACGCGTGAGTTTCTTTGGTTTCGGGTAAACAGCGAAAACAAACTCGCGTGTGATCAACCCACGGGGCTGTTGAACTCTTTTACTTGCTCGATTGGCGCTCGAATGCCGCGTGACAATCGCAAATTGATAAGCTAATCTAATCGAAAATCGATGTAGACAAAAATATAACTTCGGATCTCTTTCTTGGCGATAAACAAGCATGAATTGAAAGAGCTTCAGGTTATAGAACAAGGTTCGCGATTATCACGCCTGCCGCGTGATGACGATCAGCGAAATCAGAACTCATGCCAGCCGTACGCAATTATCTCTCGTGCGTGATATATCGTGTAAACTTTGTAACGTGTAACAATCTAAACAAAACTCGAAATTACAAAGGCGCAAATCGGGTTAGACAAACGACGAGAAGTCGCCGTAATAAATTCCGGTCTATTAATCAAATTGACTTTTACCCGTGCTGCGACCATCGCTAATTACCAGGTCGGTCATTAAACTCAGACGTTTAATTCGCTGTTAATTGCGGTTAATCTCGCGCCTAATACGATCAAAACCTGAACCTCTTTCGAGAAACTTTTTAGAATAAGACAGAGAAAGAGAGAGAGAGAGACCGCGTATCTCTTTTCAGAACTACCTGAACTACTTACTCGCTTATTACGAATCTTTCTTCGTCTTCGCGGGAGGGACAAAAATTTGCCACAAAGACGAGAAGTGGTTTTTTCAAATGCAGATGCAGAGCTTTTCTATCTTATAATTACACGTTTTACGGTCGCGAGAAATACCGCGATTATGTAAAATTGCAAAAAAAACTCAAGGCCATATTTATATTGTGTGCGTAACACGTGAGCGTCACATGCTTCTTATAAATTGAAATTACTTGTAGCATTTACGTGTAGTATTTATTATATTTTTCGCACAGAGAAAAATGTACAACTGCGCTAGAAAATACGAAACATTTTATATTTTACATACACCTACACACACACACACATACAATTGAGAATAAAGAGAAGGGGTATTTGTATAAACGCGAGATATATTTCTTACTTGCAGCGTATTAATAATCGAGCGATTTATACACGACAACAACCAATTCAGGTGATAACTAAAAAAAAGAGCAGTGAAAAGTAATGCATGTTCCGATAAGAAATAGTCGATAACCTACATGTGTGTGTGTGTGTGTTTAGAATTACATCAATTTCAGAAAATGCTATGTTAGCGCGTAGCAACTGTCTACACATTTTACTTTATCGGACGTTGTAATTTTTCACAGAGAGGTGTGTACAACCAACTATTAAACGTCGCCTTTGCGTTTCACAAGATCAGAGGATAAGCTGTTTGAAATTACTACGGAAAGATCATAGTCAAGTATAAATTAAAATTTAATACTGTACGGATTAATTGCTTATCCTTCACAGATACATTATCCACATCAAAATAATTAGCACGAGCATTTTTTTATTACAGACGCTTGCGCAGCTACAAAAAAAAAAAAAAAGAAAACAAAATGTCAGTTGCCGATATTAGCGCGATCTCACTTCTCGCTTGAAATCTCGATCAGGATCTCGATCAGGATCTCGACGATAGTTGAGAAACACCTGAGATACCTAAAACCGCGCGGCATGATTTATAGATATGCTAAAGATACCTAGTAGCTGCTAAATATATCCTAACATTCGATGAACTTGTGGACTTGTGGTAACATTTCAAAAGGAGATCTATCCACTTAGAATAAGTGTACGCGAGAACGAGATCCATCTTTCTTACTGCGCATGAAAAGTGATACTGTTCTGAGGAATGTCACATTTCTGCGGCTAAGCAGTTTTTTCAAACGTATCTTTTTGAACTGAGATAGACACTGGAGTATGGGCGGTGTGAAATTCCATACTTTGAGGATTGCGTTATACCTAAAGTGAGACCATATTTTCCGTCAATTTTGGAACTTTTGACAAGCAAAAAATAAGAGAGAAAAAAGAATGTGATTACATTTTTATGTATTTTATTATTGCACACATGCAAAGGTATAAAAAATTTGTGTACACAGTTTACACTATTAGCTTCATCTTTGATAGCTTTCAGAGCTATAAATTTTTCTTAATTATCCTTTTTTTAGTATCGTCACGTATTTAAACATTTCAACAATAATCACCTTTTTTAATAATCATTTTTTGTCGTAGTTTATCTTTGTTATTAGTATTTCTTTAAGAGTTCCCACGTTTCTCAGTTTAATACTTGACCTCCGAAAAATTTTTTTGTAATAAGAGAAAATTTCAATTTGAAACAAATTTACCAAAATCAGAAAAACCGAGACAAAGAGTCAAAATATTGTCCCGATAAAATCGATATAATGCATTGCGCTTTGCAAAATACCACGTGTCGAAAACAGATATTCGAAGAATCTTACAAATACGGAATATTTACATAGGGATGAGGATTCAAACTGGACGTGATAAGTAATGACGTGATGCTCGCGGAATCGTGATATTTCAAATTTCAAGTTCAGACAAGAAATCGATCGTTGTTCGAAGCTTAATCTACATGTCAAAAGATACATCTGCTTCGAGAACCGAGCAGTTTTTCCGAATTCTTTTCTGTTAAATATATTAGATCATGTCTATTTCAGCGCTTATTACGCTCTGATACATTTGTATATTTGCCATACGTGTGTGTATTTTTCCCATATGTGTGCGTTATGATAAGCGGTCTTGTACCTTGAGAATGTGTGTCAAATAATCGGTGCTCACGGACACACACATTTTCACTCTTTCTCTCTCTCTCTCTCTCACACATTCTCTCACTCTTTTGTCCGAAATATCGGCAAGTAGTTACATCATGCGAATGTAACTACAGGTGATAAAGATGCCATGGCCGTACAAGTCGCGTCTGACAATTCCACGTGGTTTCCGCAAACGGTTTCGTCCAAGGAAATCCCTACATACTGTGTGACTAATTTCACGACAATCAGGAAATGCAATCAACTGTGACATAACGTTAAAACGTATTATGTAATATCAGAGTAATGGCAGAGATATAATAATATAATTTTAAGTAGCAATATATATACGAGAAACTACTATAGTGTAGCGCTATTAAATTATATAAATTAAATTAAAATATTACGACGACGTTCAATTGTAATGTATTGTTGCAACTTGTTGTAAAATCTATAACTATCTGTCTATAACAAATTTGAGAAGCTAAATGGTAAATTTTTATTGGAAAAAAGATACTCAGCGAGTCAAAAACATTTGCAGTAGTAGTTTAATGTTTGCAATAAGAATTGTATTTTCTTTCCGATTCTAATTGCAGTTCCTTCGCGGTTTGACACAATTGTTTCGTTCTGATCTTTTACATGTTTTTGTATATTTTTTTTTTTTTTGTATATCTATTTTTTTACAAATACATTAAAAGCGCAAAAAAAACGACAGTGCACACGAAACGAGCGAAATATAGCACAGCGCGGGAAAGTTCCGAGAATCGTCGAGATAACGTTTTTGTAGCTTCGCCGCGACACGCAGGTAAGAAATCGAAGAATCGATCAGAAGAATAGGAGACGCTTACCTGCCAAGCCAGTGCCTCGTTATTTTGTCGCGATATTGTCTTGCAAACGACTGAAAAAAACCACGTGTGTTCGTGTGTGTGTGTGTGTGTGTGTGCGCGCGGCGGATGTTCACATTGGTGAATCTATCTCATTCCCGGGTCACGATAATTTTATATCGGATCCACCGCGAATTTTCGGATCGCACCGTCTCCTCGCGGTTTCTATCCGCGTAATCGTCCGTTCGAAAGATCACCACCAACTGCCGTCCAGACCGGTAGTTGGCCACACACTTGGTGGCTTTCCACCGCCACACACCGCTGCCTTCAACATTGGTGTCTTCGCCGGCTTCACCGCCGCCGTGCCGTCGTCAGCGTCGTCTTTTGAAACTTACGGCAGAGGTCGTGCGATCGATCAGCGATTCTCCGTCGATCGCTCTTTTACGAATTTTCACCAACGAGCGATACGCAACAATTCTCTCCGATATATCGCAAATCGAACGATGATTCAGATATTTTTGAATTGATTTATCCTGCACTTAGCATGTGTTTCAGGAATATCGCGCGCAGCTACTCTCAAGATTGATAAATTCACAGCGCGTTATGGTGCTGTTCTATTTTTAGCGTTTTCAGAAACAGTACCTTCTGCTCCGCGTCACAGGAAGCGAAGCTAATTTACATTTTCCGTCTCTCTTTCTTTTTCTCTTTCTATTTTTATTTTTTTTATTTTTCATTTTTTTAATATTTTAAAAAATAATCATTTTTACATACTCATCTTTTATATTTTTTTTATTATTTTTGATATTTTAAGTAATTATTTTATTATTTTATTAATTAAATTAATTTTGTTGAGCATGAGAAGATTTTCTCAGAACTAAAAAATATGATACCATTTCTCTCTCTCCTCTCTCTCTCTCTGGCATGTATCGTATATACTTTGAACTCGAGTATATCTTATATATAGTATTGCGGCATTTTTCAAAAAAAGACGTGAACTTGAAGACCCCGAACCTTCGTGTGTCATTCTTCATCTAAATTCGTATCGTGTGACAGGCGCGATTCGCGGTGACGAGCCAGAAATGGCGGGTGCGTGAAGACGTCTAACAATAAGTCAGCACGTGGGTCGGCGTGGTTTGGACGTAGAGCGCGGCGGCCGCTGTATGATGAAATTCGACGAGTCGGTGTCACTACGTCCGTCGCCGACGGCGTCGCGCGTCCGTTCGTTCACGCGCGCCACGCGTTATTCATTGCGCGATGCGTGCGACACACGACCGCGTGGGATTTACGCGATTGTTGTCTATCGTATTCTCGTGGTCTATCGAGTGAGTAATCGATATGCGTATATATGTCGTGTATACGTATTTGACGGAAATAAAAGAAAAGTTTAAAGAAAGAGTCTTAAATGTACGTTCTATATATTTTTGGAGTTTTTTTTATCAGAAATATTTAAAATATAATTTTTTTATTCTTTTGTGTGAAAAATTTATATTCTCGCGAGCTTTATTTCGCGGAGTTCTTTACTTGTAAGTAAAATTCTTTTCAACTAAGGAAAACTGAGTTACACACAGGAAACTCGTGACCGAGCGATAAAAGTTTCCGTTGCAACTTTGAAGTCGAAGAATAGAAACTCTTGGGTCAACTAAGCTTTTGCTTAATAGCCGTCTGGAGTATTAATTGGTCCTCATTTAAGAGAAAGAATAAGGGGGCCGCAATTTCGTCCAATCGAACACTAATCGTACGAATAATCGGTCGCTTAGATGAGGAGACGAGAAGGACCACATTGAGGACGAATATAGAAATTGTTCGTGCGCATTAACGCAATCATAATACGCAAACATAATAAAGATGAGCGAAATTCATAACTAGCGGCTCGTAAACTAGAGGTTCCGCATGAGAACGCATTTATCTGAAATTAAATATCCGGAACTTTAAACCCGGTTGCGACAATAAGCACGCTCGTGCGCGCGCGCGAGCGCGAATGAGACGCTGTTTTCGCTGTTGCGTCAGAAAAAAAAACCGCGAACAAATTCCAATGTCGTTTTATTACGCGCATTTTGCATTTTCGTCACGAGAAGAGTAGTATTATCCCTCTTGTACGAATTGAATAAATAATAACTGTCATAATGTTTTTCAATAACATATATTCAAAGGTCCTACGTCATTGCATAATTTAGCATCAAGTTTGTAAAGTTTGTGTGTGCGTCACATTTTCATATTTTGTATACTTCGAGCGTCATATTTTGTATATACTTCACTCATATTCGTGTTTTCTCATTGAGAATAACAAGATTAGATAAAAATAATATTTATAATTTTTTTGTAATGATATACTTACACAACACACATATGACGTTCAAATGTCTAATGGATGTCCGTAACTTCATGTGATGTCTAATGATCATCTAATTAAGATTTGTATAGAATGTTATTCTATGTGGGAAACAATGCTTTTTATTTCTATCGAGACAGTGGTTTACGAGATATTTATTTATATAAAAA